AATGGAAAATCTCTATTTTTGATTATTGTTTGTGTAATAAGATTGTAGTAGACCCATAGGTGACATATGGCAATTATTTATTTCAATATAAAATATGTAAACATGTTGGTATAGGAAAAGAAGACGGCAGATTATCTATTTAATAACATAAACGAATCCTGCCCTTTGTTTTGTAACGAAACGTGTCTAATCACATCAGTACAGATGTATGTTTTGTTTTTTTAAATTGTTTAATATACAATACCTACACTACTAGTGACTTAACAACTAAACGTACGAAAGCGAGGCATCGAAAAAAGTTTTCTCTGAGATCTATTATCTCGGACAATTTGGTAAAAGATCCGTAGCTATTAAATCATACTAAGCACTGGAAAATTGCTAAGTTTGAAAATGACAAGCTGTTAAACTCAAAAAAATCAGAATAACCTTTGTTTTATTTCGCATATGCTTATGCAATTTAATAAAACACTTACCTGTATACATACACGTATAAATTGCATGGGGTGCTAGATGTCAATTGTTGTAAAAATAATTTATTGGCAGATATTGGTAAAAGTAAAGTTATTATATTATAAAATATCTTGGAAAGCACCCCACGATATTTTACAATAAAATGATTTTTTTTTTGGAACTAGCCACAAAAGCGTGTTTTTTTCAGGTTTTTTAAACCATAATTTATTTTTGCTTTTGAGTGATTAAATGATGATTATTTTCTCATTAAGACGTAAGAGTAAGTTACAATCTGCTTCAATCGGCAAAAGACAGTACCGTATTTTTAGGTATGAAAAAAGTTATTAATCCTGAAGATTCTGATCAGGATAATCGGACAAGTTTATCAAATTATTGTATTGTTATCGGTCCCTGATAGGTGTGCGAAATCAATCTGATGTTTTAAAGAATTTCACAAGTTTCCCATTGACTTTTTTTTCACAACTTCCACGTAGGTACATGAAATTCGTAAATTACGCTCAATGTGCAAACAGTATTTTAATAAATATTTGAACGAATGTCCTAATAAATTAAGTCATGTAATATCTTAATAAGAGTATCTACATTTTGCCACAAGTACCTAAATGTACCTACGATCCAACTGTATATTTCCCGTGAGAAAATGTTAGGCGCTGAACTAATGTCAATGAAGTCAATAAACATAACTGAACTCAACTAATGTATTAAAGAAATTTACTTATTCATTGTTTAATAAAGAAATACCAAAAAAAAAACAACATCATGAAGAATTTTATAGATATGTATATTACATATATTCATTCATTTTAGTAGATCTATGTAGCAACTTAGCAGAATAATGCATAAAACAAATCACATTCAAAACAAGACCGGCTGCATTCAGAAGAAATCTTATATTTCATTTATGTAGTGAATTTCTATAGATGCACTCGTCGTGGCCCTGCGGCAAGTGCACCTGGAATACTTATGTACACGCAAGCAACGGTGAAAGCTGCCCAGTCTAGCGTCTAGCGACTCAGCCCTTGACGCTTTGGTTATGGCTGGCCTCATTAAGCGACATAATGTGCTATTTATACTGGCTATCCATATTACAATTTCATATTTACTGCTTTTTTTTCTTTGTTAATGATACAAATACAAGTGCAATAGACATTTTTATGTTTTTTAATTGACTTTAGTAGAAAATATCAATATTAAAAAATTGGTATACCTAATAGGTGTATTTTGTCTCTTCAGTATGGTCAAGACGTGCATCTAGCTAGTCTACTCTGGATGGTGTAAGAAATTTATCTGTTTTTTTAAATATATACAATTGTAGAGATACTATTATCGTTTATAGTTTTTTTATGTGCCATGATTAATAAAGATTCCGTATTCAGTCTCTTAATAAATTCTTAAATTGCTTCGTTTCATGAATAATCTAAAAAGTGTTTAATACCACCGCAAAGCACTAAACACTATTTTAGGTTATTCGCTGTTTAAAACGGGCCACGCCGATATTCCTTTTATTAGTTATTAGGTTTCAATTTTCATAGATACCTATGCCTCGTCCATTTATTTATAAGTAGTCGATTAAGGGTAACTTTTCTAATTTGATTTAATGTAAGAAGGAGTTTTAATGTCTTGATGTAAAGAATTAATAAAATTGTAGCTAACAATACCAAACTCGCCAACCATGTTTATTATATGATTAATATTATTAGATAATGTATATTATTTGAATTGATTGATTAAATTTAAAATTGTTGACGGTATTTATTACAAATAAAATTAAATACAACTATTACATTACTACTACATTTTAAGAAATCATTAATATCTACCCGAATATATACCCGATAAAAAAGTCGATTTATAAATATTCATACTCATCCATATTTATAAATCGACTTTTTTATCGGGTGTCACAAAACTATTTATTTTTAAATGGAATTAATAGCATGAATTATATGAATATAATACTATATATTGTGATGTGAGCTTTACGTTGACTTTTACAAACTCAGACTCCAGTACAGTTACGTCTTGATCAGTCCAAAACAAAATAATAGAATGGACAGAGACTTTAGTTCTGGTCATCGATTGTCAAGAAAAAACGAACTTAAATGTCTTTTGTTTTTTCGTTTAAGCTTCTAAAGAGCAAATTAAAATATAGATAACAAGTAATACTTAATAACAAAAAATCAAAAACCCGACTGCAAAAAGATAATTTAAACGTAATGTAATAAAAAGACCGAAACAACACGAGGCGAGATCCGACACAGACGTGGCCCATTATTACGCTATCAATGACTTATTAAAACTTATTTATTATTCCTAATTAAATTTAAAAATATATAACTTATTTTTGTAATCCATCTTAATTTCCTGGATTTAGAACTCGATAGGTTTGGTTATATGGTTTTTTATTAACCCTTACTAAGCTTTTATTATTTATAGTATTTATGGAGGGTGGAGGCCAGGAGAACCATCTCTGTGTATGAAAAGTTTAGGTATGTAGAAACGCGTCCAATAATGGTAGCGGTGCGGTAGCCTAGGATAAATTTATATTGGTTTAAATAATAATTAGACATTGTGTACTAGACTGCGAAAATAGTCAATGAGTTTTACAGACAATAAATAAACGTGTAATAATTTTCAGACAGTAAAAATAATAGGGGTTAAAGTATAAAATTGCCGTTGCATAGTAATAGATACTTTGAATTGACATAAAACCGTCATTTTGTAATAAAAACTTTTTTCACATGATACCTATGAGGATCTTATTTTAAAAAATGTGCAACATTCAATTTCCACTTTCAATTTTTTTATTCAGCTTAGACGTAAAAGATGGATACTCGAAAAACCTAGTCATTTTTGAATACGAGTCCCGACGCGGTATTAACTTTAGTTTAGAGAGGAGACTGCTAATGAACGCACCGTGCGTTTTTGGTTTAAACGCGTTCGTCATTGAAACTTTGACTTGAAGAACGAACCACGTGGAAGAGTGCCAACACAGGTGAATAACGCTGAATTGAAGGATATGGTGGAAGCCGATCCGAGTCAAACTACCCAGGAATTAGCGGCATGGTTTAACGTTACAATATTGACTCATTTGCATCAAACCAATAAGATAAAAAACCATGAAAAATGGGTGCCACATGATTCGACTGATCTGCAGAACGAAATGCGTGTTAAATCCTGTGTTGCCTTGTTAAAATATTTTGATTAAATAAATATGTTATATCTTAGAAAAAAACGAGTTGCAATTATTAAGTACAAATCGGCAATTTCATACTTTAACCAATAATATTATAATATTTTAACTCAGTACTTCACTCCATAGATATATAAGGATAGAGAAAACACGGGTTACAGCTGCTTGTAAATGGAAGCGATTCAGGCAATGAGAGAGATGGATGCCTGATAGTTCCCTCTGTCTCTGTTTACCTAAGCTGCGATTGGCTATTGTTAAGTGGGTGTGTGGTTTTGATCGTGGATCGTAAAAAAGAGATAGAGGGAACTATCCATTATTCATCGATTGGGGCTCTTGTTCACTCTATGCTTATATCTTTATGCTTCACTCCGTCTACAACGGACTATGTTCATATCGTAGTTTTTCGTACGCCACGCTCTATTTTTAGTTGGTATACAAATGGACACTTCTTCAACTTTCTCCCCATATAAGATGGCTCTCTCTAAATATGTCAGTGTTTTTTTCTTTTAAAGAGCTATCTAAATGACATTTGGGTTTTTAAGACCCATAAAACTATGTCTTAATTGTTAAAATCCATCCAGCCCATTGGGAGATACGAGGTAATAAAGAAATTTACAAACAAACATACAAGATACATAACCCTGAAGGGCAGTTGGGTAAAAATATTAAAAAAGTTAATTGATCAAGTACGGATGGCTAATGGATATTTTAATTTTTCGTCTGGTAATCTTGCTTCCGGAAATATATTTTATAAAGAAATCGATTGTAATGTAGTTGTTTTACAGCTATAGATTCACATTGTAAAATAATGTAGTGCGTATTAATAGTTTTTTAAATACCATTAAATAGAATAACATTTATTAAAACCTAAGTTAATGAAATACAATACTTATGAATACATTTGCTGGCTATAAAGAAAAAAAAACAGGTTATTTTACAGTAGTGAAAAGGAAAAAATATTTACAGGACTTCATAATTATTTTTTATAATATAAAAGCAATGTACAACACAACAAACAAGCTACATTTCGTTATGTAATCATCTTTTTTCAAATGAAATACTCCAAACTACAATGAATAACTTCTGGGTATAAAGAAATCCAAAACACTGAACTGCCAGGAATAAAAATGAATACCATTATAATTATTATATTGCTGTTTTGGATTAATGTTATATAACTAAACACAATTTTTACGTAATTTACTCTTAAATTTTGTATTATTTTATGTATTTTTCAGTTCCAAAATTTTTTAGCTTCATTTGACAAAATTGCCAGTCAACATTATTTATTTGTTAATGTATAGCGTAGCAACATTTGACTTTCAGTCACTCAGAAATGGGGGTGCTGTCAAACTGCGTGAAACCCAATTTTTTGGGTTTATTAAAATGTTTAAACAGTTTAAATTGGTTTATTGTGTTCTTTAGTTTGATAAACCTATCAGTATGCATTTACGAAGACCAGATAGGAAAATTTGACTGGTAAGTTCATGTTATAGGTTATATTACTTGTCATTGTAAGCGCTGAGTTGACTGAATATTTAATGAAATTATAATTTTCAGGCGTCAAACATATGTAGGAAGGATCAAATTTTCCCAGTTCGATACTGTGTCTACCGCTAAGAAAATAATTGTCGCCACAGAAGAGAATGTTTTGGCTGCACTTAATTTGAAAACTGGTAAATTGATTTTATTGACTATATCCGTTTATAATTGAACAAGCCGGCGTTTCTGCTGTACCTGTACTTTATTCATACAAATTTGAATTAATTCTATAATCTAATTACTTTCAGTAGGAATATTTATGGAATAAATTTTGTCAAAATGTTTCTGTAATCTCTGTGATAGTTCAATCACTAAGGCTATGACAGGCTATTGTAAATCGCTGTAATCTTACATTCTAGTTAGTTTACTTTCTATTGCAGTATTTAAGCAAAACTTTATAGTTGATCATTACAAGAACCTAATTTATGCTTAGGTGATAAAAAAAGTAATGTTTTATACATAAAAGTTATCTATAATCTAATGTGACACAGATTTAACCACAAAATTTATAAGATTGTATATTTAGGTCGCTGAATAATTTACATTTCATTAACAAGTGAGTTCAGTGAAATCCGTATCAGGAGTTTTAAAATTGATAAACAATTTTGAAAACAATAGCATCATTTATGTTTACAACATCAGTTAACAAGAATTTTGAAATGAATGCTATTGGCAAAGTGATAAATAAACAGTGTATTAATTATACATGTTACCGTTGAATTAAAAAAAAGGTTTTGTCTTTTAATTCTCAAAATTTTGGTAAAACAAAGTAGATTGATTTTAAATGATTTTTATTCAGAACATCTACTGTGTTTGTGCTTATCTGTATGCCTATTCTATTTCTTTTATATTATTATTTCTATTAACCCTATACTTCTATGGTGTTAATTAAATACAACCAGTCAATAATTAATATACTAAATTTTACTGGTATTTGTAGTTGTAGGCAAAATATATAAGATATTATGCCTCTGTATTATTTTTGAATTTTTATACCTTTTTATAAAATCTTAAATTAACGAAAAAGTCTCATATGGTATAAATATTATCGGAAATCTGACATAACACTGTCTAGTTTCAAAGTAAGCAGAGCTATGAGAGTTAGATTGACTAATAGAATACTCATATAGTTTTTTTTATATACATACATATTACAAATAGATAAAACTATGACAAATTGACAAATTACAAAAAGAAAAAATAGAAGAAACTATGGAACAAATATTTGCAGATCAAATAAACATTTGGCCCAACTCCAGAATTGAACCCTAGACCTAAATAGTAAAACTAACTTAGCTAAAATCTATATCAGATAAAGTCCTGGTAGTTACATCTGTGTTGTCAAACTAAATGTATAAATAATCCTCCCCGAGGCTCTTCACAATCCAATTGCATCCAATGGCTTCCCGCTACCTTCACCAGGTCATCGGACCATCTTGTAGGGTATACATTTACATTGTATTAGTATATCTAAAACTCAAATATACATATTAATTTGCAACAACTTGCTTTCTTAAGAATTTATCTATCCAATGCAGTACTATTTTCAACTTTACTATAAAAGAAAAAAAGAACTAGGTTTATTAGGATTGCATACCCAAAGGGTAAAACGGGACCATATTACTAAGACTCCACTGTCCGTCCGTCCATCTGTCTGTCTGTCTGTCTGTCTGTCTGTCACCAGGCTGTATCGCAGTAAACAGTTGAAATTTTCACAGATGATGTATTTCTGTTGCTGCTATAACAACAACTCCTAAAAACAGAATATAATATTTAATTGGGGCTCCCATACAACAGACATGATTGTTTTGCCTTTTTTATAGATTACGGAACCCCTCTCGCTCGAATCCGACTTGCACCTGGCTGGTTTTTACATACTTTATATTAGCTTCACTTGTATGTTTGTTTGTATGTTTGTAACCAACTCCTTTGGGCGTGATTTTGACTGACTTTAAACGGTCAGAATTCGTTCAAACTTTGTAGATATTTCGAGGACCGATGAAAAGCGTTTGGTGCCTGTTGTTATTAGTAAAAAGCACCCCACGCTTTTTTTCAAATTTATTAAAATTTATTTTCTATTTTTTAGTTTGGTTTTCTCTAAAAGCGTGTTTTTTAGTGTTTTTAAACTATTTTTTTATATTAGTTGAGATTTATATAAATTGTTCTGATTGCCAGGTCAAGTAGTATGGCGTCATGTGTTCGAGAGTGCCTCAACAGGCAACATACAACTGTTGCATGTCACAGAGAAAGTGGTGACAGTCTCTGGGTCAAATCCATATCTGGTGAGAGGATGGGACTCAGCCACAGGTAATATATAAATAAATGTATTTTTACATTTCCTTTGCTTCCTTTGTTCTTCTGTATTAAAAATACTTGCCCTGACTGGCTGAACTTAAAATTTTGGCAACTGAGGCTTTTTATGTTCTAAGAAAGGCTTTTTGGAAATTTCACCCCTAATAGGGTAAAATAAGGGAAAGAACGGTTGTGTGGAAGTTTTTCATTTTCAAAGGTAGGAACATGAATTAAGAATTAACCACGCAAGCGAAGCAACTTTCAATGGGTTGTTCCCAATCATCATCACCATCAGCCTATCGCAGTCCACTGCTGAACATAGGCCTCTCTTATTGCACGCCTCTTCAATCAGTTTGCCCAATACAAGTCATAAAAGAATAGTACTCATTTGTGTTTGGAATGATTATTTAATGACTTAATTTTTTTACTGATTAGTGTTGTAGTGCTACTCCACTTTAATTACGTTATGTAGCCAGTAAAGGAGGAAAATTGTATCTTACTGCAGAACATTATCAAGGAAAATATGCTAAACATCAACTTACAATACTTCAATAATAATTTACATCATTAAATATATTTTTTGTTTGTATTATGAACGCCAAAAAAACTATTAACAATGACAAGATAATTAAGATGTCAGGTTGCATTTTTTTTTAAATGATAAACTGTGATTATGATCCCAATTCTACTGAAATTATGAAACACTTATCTATAAACGACAGCTCTATAGAAATTTAACTATACATGCATATACATAAATATCTATTTGCATTCTCTGAAGTATGTAACGGGTATATAGCGATCACAACTAAGTTAGCTCAGATAGTGGGAACATTTAAAAAAAATTACAAAATCCTTTGCAAGAATTACTTAGATGCAGTGCAATTTTTTTTAAACAGGCAGTAATAGACTACAGAGTCCTACATTGCTCGTGGTATGACACATACTTGCCTATTTTTTAATTCAAGAAATATAAATGATAGATACCAACATAACTGGTGACCAAAATAATGATATTTTTAGGTGTCCTGCTATGGGAGTGGTCACTGACCTTACAGAACGAGGACCATGTGGACTTCTCAGAATGGTGGGTGCAGAACAACATGTTGGTACACATGGTACCCATATTTGGCTCCCACATTGAAGTCACAATGTACAATGTATTCAATGGCCAGAACAAAGGTGCTTCGTCAAAGTTACCGGCTCCGTGGACTAATGAGGGGTGAGTGATATTTATATAAGCCTTAAAACGCACTTGCGGTTGTCGCACTGTGGTATGCCGTTGCCGCTTGCAGCAGCGTATACGGTCAGCAGTAACGGCGCGCCGATTTCCGCCTAACCGCGGCGTCTTGGCTCTGTTGCGGTCCGCCGCAATCGTCAGTGCGTGTAGAAATATTGGACATGTATATAGAGCGTGGCGTTGTTTGACATATCAAACGAACTTTTCCGTGTTAAAAACGTGAATTTGAAGACGGCTGGGCGCACGCCAGTGCGTTGACATCATGCATTTTTTGCATTTTATATATGATACTGGAGTGATTAGACTAATAGAAGTTTAAGAAAACAATGTATAACTGAATTTAAAATATCTAATAACTATTAGAAAAATTGCGATGTGCAGTGAACCGCTACGGCATACTGCAGTGCGGGCTAACCGCAAGTCCGTTTTTTTTTTAATCTGTGGACTTTAACCCATACACTGTCTTTTAGGCTAAAAGACAGTGTATCGGTTAAAGTCCACAGATTTTTAGTCAGTTGGTATGGTATACTCACATCTTGTCCGAACTTCATGTAGTTAGGCGAAGTTGCCAGCAAATAGTGGACCTTTGATTCTTGTTTTACATTTTGAGTATAATGACACCTGTAGGCTCACATAATTTAAGGACTGCTGGAGTGATTTCATAATTTGGGTTATTTTATTTTCTATTATTTTTAAACATTGAAACATATGTATAGCTGAACTAATAATAATAATTATTGTACCAATACAAATACAATGCAATTTGTTCAACATAAAACTGAATTGTTGAACTAACACTTAATTGTTTAATAAGAACAATTTTATTTCACCTTACATTATGAATCTACTTATCACTGCAACTACATTTGCGCTAGACAAACAAAATAGGTTTCTGTTTAATTACTGATTAAGTAAACTTAGTAGGTATATCTGTGAGTAAAATGTAGTCTGTTTTGAAATGATATGGTAATATGTTTTAATTTTATTCTGCTATTGCCCTAGCTCGTAAAGACAAATAGGTAATTATGCTACTTTTGCTGAAAATTAGGAATGTGTATTTGTTAATTACTGTATTCTGTAAATGAAATTTGTCATTTTTCTTCTAAACCTTAACTTTTTAATAAAAAAAAAATGATGATTTTTATTTATTAGGGTTGAATTGCCGTGTCTATAAATAATTATTGGTTCTATAGTTTGTACAGGCGAATAAACTTTGTAATCAATGTATTATTTCCAATGTTACAGATGTGTGCTATCTGCACCCTATTACACATGTATCTCGGGCGACGTGAGCAGCGGACTGCTCCTCTCACTCGACGTGACGTCAGACGCTGTACAGCTTATAAGCCGACCATTATCAGAATATGTTAGCTTACAATCAAGCTATGTGAACCTAAGCCCTCTCGACGGCAACAGTGTTATACCAGGATTTACGATAGATAATAGAAAAATTGTTATTATAAAGAATAATCAGTTGGAGCTTTTGAAAGTGGATGTAACGGATCCGTCGGCGAGTGTTACTGTAATAGAGAGTGTGAATGGGCCATTAGTGTTGCAGGCGTGGAGTGATAATGTAAGTATATTGCTATTTTTTTGACCTCTTTAGTTCTGTGGCGATACTGACTGCTGGGCCGGTGATAGTGGTTTCGCTTCATACCCTAGGACAAGTTTGCATAATAAGCATGATCATTTGTTCCGGGTACCTTACAATGTGCTCTGCGTGATTCAGTATCAGACTGGTAGATATTTTTGTGAAATGTGTGTGTAATAATAATTGTTAGGAAAAGTCTCTATATTAGTCGCTATTTAACATTCATTAATTATATACAGAGTGTAAGGGACGTCGTAATGAATAGTGAAATAGTGTATTTAGACCATGATTTTGAGTCAAAAATCATTGGAATTTTCTGCCAGAAAATGTATATATTTTTTTTTTCAATTCTTTTTGGTTCTAAATACTATCACAATGAGCAAACAGAACATTTCACCGAAAACAAATAATAAATACTGCATACGGTCAAAAACTGCAATGTAATTAATCAAACAGCCGAAGCGCGTGGGGCCTCCCCTCCGGCCGCCAACTTGTGTTAGTGTGCGTAGACTGTTTGTACTACTATACTTACTTTTGTCAGAGTTATAGAAAAGTATATAAGGATAACTCTTTATGTATTAATAGTATAGACACAGGTACATACCTTGTAGGACATAAGTATACGTATAAGAATATATATCCGTGTGGTGACGGATTAAGAATATGGAGGGTCACTATACCTATTCATACCTCCTGGGTATCGTAAGAATCGACTAAGGGAGTAAACTGCCCAGGACAAGAGTACTGCAAAGATCTACACCAATGGCGTAGTGGTTTAAGCGGTCGCCACGCCGCTTCGTACTACACCGAATGATGTGGGTTCAAACCCCACATGGGACGACCCTTTGTGTGATGACTTGGACAACAACAATTTGTGTCCACAAATTGTTGTTCCTAGTCTGGGTGTTCTTTGTGTCCGTTTCATGTATGTTTGTAGAGTTCCCCGCCACACAGGATATATTCCTAATGCGGGAATTGTCTTTACAAAAAAAAGAAAGAGAAGGAAAACTGCACACAAACCCTATACCAACCCATCTGACCGGCATGGTAGAGTAGGCCAAAACGTCCTTTCTAAGGAGAGGCTTATGCCCAGCAGTGAACTATTAAAGGCTGTTGATGTGTGATGTGTGTAATGAGTATATACATTACATTAATCCTCTTCAGGATATTTCTAAATTAGTTAGTAAGAAATATTTAGTACTTGCATTAAAATACTGTTCATTACGGTATATTCCAGGATTTCTCAGCAGTGGCTCACAGTGTCAGCACGGGGTCTGAAGTTAAAGAGCTCCAGTGGTCGGACCGTGAGCTTAAACTACCTGACCCGGAGATATCGTCCGCACTCTGCACCAAGTCATCACGAGAACAGCTCGTTTGCAGGATACTTGTTACAGCTGCTGATGATTCTACGCATTTGATACAGCAAGACGGTAAGTAAGTTTTTTTATTCTAAATGGGCTAAAGACGATTTAAATGACAATTTAAATGCTAGACTTATATGAACATTTTGTGTTAACCTACTTGCTCTAATGATTGTTGATATAAATAATTTTGTTATTTTTCTATATCCTAAATAATTTGTTATCTTTCTACATTGTTTAGTCGTAAAGTAACACAGGCATGCAGACAGGACATATTTAAATGAACGATTTACACATTTTGACTGACACTGATTGCTTCGGTGGCACAGTAATAGCTTATGCGACTGCTGTACTGAGGTCTCGGGTTCAATTCCCGGGTCGTACTAAATGTATCTGAAAATATTTCTTTCGGAGTTTTTTCGTGTATTTACAAAAGTATTCTATCATGACTGATAGATCTAGCTTTCATAGTACAAGCTCTGCTTAGTTTGAAACTAGATGGCGTTTTGTGTTAGATGTCCGTAAATATAATTATTTTCATGTGAAACATCTAATGCACTGTACATTAGATAGGCAGACCTTCGGTTGACATGGCGACGCGTCGCCATGAGAAAGTGACTCTGCGACTTCACTATTGACTCGACCATTTTTAATTGTGCTATATTTATTATTTCCTTTGAAAAGCTATCCTTAGATACTCATTATTTCTACAAATTCAAAAAACATTTCAATGTTTCATATCTAATGGACGTCCGACGACGACTTAATATTTTTTTTTTCAAATAAATAATTCAATCATTTTAAATAATTACCGTATTCGCATTCTAATATTATCATTTTGTTTTTTGTAAAGGTCGTGTGGTATGGTCTCGCGAAGAAGCCCTCTCCAACGTAGTGGCTGTGGAGTTTGTCGAGTTGCCAGTGTCTGACTTAGATGCCGCCATCGAGTCAGAGTTCGACCAAAAGGAAGGTTGGTTGTATTATTTTTTAATACCTATGGAAAGAGGATTTCTGAAGCCAGATTCGACATATTTTGATATAATACCACCCGTAGAGCTACAGGAGGATTCGTAGTTTTAACTTTCGTCCAAACAATATTTTGAATTTTATGTTAAATTGCCGGGAATAGTGTATTGTGTCTACCAGACACTTACTTTTAGTGCTTAAAGCATATTATATGGGTTGTGTTATCAAATTCCAGATTGGTGATAAAAATAAGTAAATGAATAATTAAGTGTATTGTGTAGTGCGAATTAAGTGTATCGTGATCTAAGACAAATCGACAGATCCGTGCAGAAATAGAGGAAATACTTATTGGAATTCGACTATTATATGTATATTAACTAAATCTAAAGAGAACTGAGAGGCAACTTTAATATTATTTTACAATTGTTATGCTTTTAGAGAAGTCAAAACATGATTAAAAAATTTAGTAAAATTACTTTTTTACAATTTTGCAATGTACAGTTGTATGCGCACTTGCTGTGCGATGCGATTGCGACCATTTGGTTGATATTTGCGCTAACTGGATTTTGGAACGTCTTTTGTTTTGATATGCAAGAATCGTATCGCACGTCATCGTAGCCATCGCATCACAACGCATCGCATCGCATTGCATTAGATTTTGTTGTCACTGCATTGGATTGCGCCACAATCGCGTTCGCTTTAAATCGTCCATGTAGGACGTTGCCTAAAACTAACAGCTCTAAATTATAAAGAGTTAAAAAAACAACATTATTATATACTTTAAGTAAAATATATCAAAATATGAAAGTTATCGACATTTTTAGCATAAATTATTTGGAAATAAGTTCTTTACTGAAGTGTAGTTCTATAACACTTCACAGCTATCAGCTTTTTATCATTATAATGGCAAAATATCGTTTCCTATTTCAAGTTCGGACCATCATTTATTTTAAATTAATTTTAAAATATCATACAACATTATTTTTCACATTTCACAAATTTTAACGTGCTCGGTATTTTTCATATCTTTACCTATTAACAATATTTATTATTTTATGCATTTCTAAATGAAATAACGCTAATTAATTTAGATATTTGTATTAGGCGCTTTCTGTTCGTTTATCTACACGATTAAATAAAATCAGATTATTCATATTTTTTAAATAAAAATAATGTTGTATGTTATAACAGACATTAGTTACATAATCGGGGCTATTCACTATGTTCATATATCTTAACTCTAATATTCATATATTCTTTCTTATTTTCTAGCTGCCAAGATGTATAGTAAGTACTGTGTAGGTTTGCTTGCACCTTGCTTTGGTTTTGATGTGTGTTCACTATTTAAAAACAAGTGAATAATATAGCTAATATGAATTACTACCTTACTGTGTGCCTTTACAAGAGTTTAGTCATTAAAAGAAACAATCAGAATACAATAAACTATGTATAGCACGCGCCACATAACTCTGCCTCAATGAAGTTAGCTGCAAACCGAATGTTGCGCAAACAAACGTACTGAGGCTATAAACATTTTATATATTTTTGCGTGAATTATTAGGTTACAAACAAGTAATAATAAAATTCAATTTGTTTAATTCAATATTGCAACTAATTGTATAATGTACATGTGTGTCTATTTCCTAACAATTACGTTAATATTTTAAATATGAAAGTGGCAAAAAAGTAAAATACATATCACGCTTTTGATAAGAATTCCGGACTACTAGGGAATACGTTATCAGTGAATAGACACTTCTAGAATTATGTGCAAAATTTAGTCTAGTAGTAGTTTTAAAGTAATGTTAGTAGTCGTTTTGAAAGCAGGAAATCAACTTACAAACATAAACAAAACAGATAACAAACAAAACTAATAACAAAATTAACAGACTTTTTTAACAATTATGTTCACAACAGTACGTTAGAGCAAAGCAGATAAATCATTTAGCTTGTTAGAGAGAGATGCACTACTGACCTTGCAGCGGTGCAACACGTAGCCGGCAAAATGCCCCCCTGTCTCCCTCAGAAATTACCCCTCTGATACCTAAAATAGCATTTCGCGAAAACTTCATTGACGCACTACTATAGTACTATATGCAAATTACATAATTTTCACATTTCAAAAATAAATTAAATGAATTATCATAAATTTCAGAATTTTAATAGTTAAAAAAGGCTATTACAGTTAGCTATCGCCAATGGAAGAAACAAAGTTAAGCACAAGGCAGTGTTTCTGGAGGCTTCAATCGTGATGCGGCTGATAACAGGCGAAACACTTGATTCGCGCGCACGTGGGGGCGCAGTCGGGGCGCCAGAAATACCTGTGAACTAGTGATTCCTTGAAAAGGGACTTCATAATAATAAAAAATAAAAAAACAATGGAAATAACCAAAATATACAAACCAAAAATATAAAGAGTTAGGTTGCCGTTTTGATCCGGTGCTTGTACATACATGACGTTATTATTCTTTCTGACAGATTTCTAATAATGGTATTCTTACACCCGTCAACCTTGGTCATGACAACGTTAAGAATAAGCTAAAGTTGGCTGTTTAATGGTCAGACTGGTGTGTGACTGACTTTAGAAGGTTGGCTCATTATTTTACATTTGTTTATTTTATTCTGATTGTTGCAAAGGAAAGTAGTGCAAACATTCGTTCGTGTTCATGTACATAAAAATGACATTTCTTGATGGCTTCTTATGCACAATAGACAGAGTACTAACTAAACGTTATGTGGCGGTGCACGGTACTCCATACACCGTAAGGCACCGTAAAGCACTTCTTGGGCTCTTAAATTGTCCTTTTTTATGTATTTTATTTAACCCCCACGGGTCGCCACTTTACCGGGGCCAAATGGTGACTCAACCTACTAAAACCACACAGTGTTTTCTCACCTGATCCTTTGCCGGGACCTCAGGCGTACCCTAGAAAGTAATCGCGTGAGAACCCGGTACTCATGACCTGACTTTAAGCAAAGTCACTTAAATTACCTGTCAATACAATAATCGCCATTTTTACGTTCATTGAAAATTCAGCTCTTTATTTCGCTTTGTTTGCTAGTAATACCATCTTTTTTAATAGACTTGATATTACAAGAAAACCATATAGAACGGAAGCTCATAATTTTTTTTTATTATTTATGATTTCTGATAATTCAATGTATTGTTATGACCTCAATATTTACAAATGAACAATGGACTTAATCCCCAGTGGGGGGTCCACGCTTTATGTTATGATAGTACTCTTATAATTACATATATCGTCGAATATGTAGAGACTAACCAATACCATTGAACCAGGTTCCATCTGGGCAGCTTTCTCCCGCCGTCTGCAGACACAAATCCAACAGTTGCAGACGCTCATACAGGGTCTACACAAGGGCGAGGGTATGGAGGAGGACGCTACGTCTCCTCTAGTTAGGGATTACTTCGGACTACACAAGATCATCGTACTCGTCACAGAAGTTGGCAAGGTCAGAAACCATTACTGTTCCTTTTTTAATTTTATGAATTAAAAAGAGTAATATTTGTCTATCGAAAGATCTTCGTCAAGTTGCATACATGAACCGATACCCAAGACTTTAACTTCCTTAAAAGGAATGACCAAAATATAGAGAGTATTACTTAGAGACTTCATATTCATTTCATTCAATAGAGAGTATTTTTTAGAGACTTCATATTCATTTCATTCAATAGAGAGTATTTCTTAGAGACTTCAAGACATCGAGGGACATTAGGTTTTAGATAGTGTAGAAATGCGTATTTCTTCGAGTTAGACACGTTCACCAGAAAACTTCAAAGAATTGGGATCCAGCAATATAACATTCTGATACCAAATCATTGAGAATTTATGAATAGCAGCAACAACTTGGTTACTCCGTGGTCCCGAATTCTATAAAACGTCCGACAACAGTATTTCTGCAGAACTTCGATATTACCTAGTACTTTGGTTGTGGAGATCTGGTGGCAGTCGCTCCGCGTTCAAAACAGTAGAAACATCGAAGTTCAGCCGTATCGTAGTAGACTTAAAAACCGATCCCAACCTGGTTTGAGAAATAAAGCTCAGAGAATGCGACAACTTGGTTCATAAAGAAAAAAAACGGAAAATAAATGTTTATGACTTTTGATCTGTGTAACTCCTTGAAAACACGACAACAGATTTCAGTCCATGATGTTGCCATACTTCTTTTCTTTATCTTTAGAGAATTAGAGGTTAGTGAGTGTAAGGAAAAAACTTATATCTTCAATTTATATGAAAGCCATTCACGAAAGTATTTACGTTCCTGTCCATTACTGGTCTGCGAGGCTGGATTGCGTTCGCAGACAGCGCTCACACCCAATGGGTGAGCTCTTGTCCACGGTTAGGTGTACGAATGGGCCATGCGTTCTTGTCCCATCGACTTTATAAGCTACCAAATATAACTATATGTTTTTTTCGCAGATCTTTGGTATGGACAACTTATCCGGTGCGATTCTATGGAAGTACTATGAACCAAACCTTGACACAGAAGGTGTAGTTGTGTTCACTCGAAGAACTGCGAGACATCCGCCGAACGATGCATATTTAACTGTTGTGGGGAAACATGAGGTGAGTTGTTATGTAAACTGTTCATTTGTGCAATTTCGTACGGAATGGCGCAGCAATTATTGTTGTGTGTCTCATATATAATAATAATATTTATTTATTTGACCTATATACGTTACAGTAAAAGACGTACACACAAATAATATTATATTACAGTTCAAAAATTATTAATTCGTTTTTAATTACAAAAACAAGCTATTTAGCGATAATGTCCTCAGGAAACAGCTCCTCCTTCGTTATCTATAGACAATATCAGAGACGGGCCTGTTGGTCTAGCGGTTAGTAACTCTGAGTGATAAGCTAGAGATCATGGGTTCAATTCCCACCAATGACAAATAACTGTAGGTTCAGCACGGTCACTTGTGTTTAGATGTAATTTATCTATAATGTGTATGTATTAACAAATACATAATTATCATCATTTATCAGCCATCTGGTTACTAGACATGGGACAAAATCACAGTGAACTGTGATTTATCATTCCATTTTTGCATCCGTAATTTAAGGTTGCTAGGTAGGTAGATTAAACGCTATTTAACAGTACATCTAGTTTTTTTTTTTAATTATGAATTGAATAGTAGCTATATATAATAAAATAATTACTACATTTACTGTTAAATAGGCGAAATAGGGTCTTAATGCATCGTCTAAAAACAGCTTACTGGCAACAACGTGTAAGTAAGTTGTAACTCTAACCGACGTACGAAAAAATCTATACTAATATTAAAAAGCTGAAGAGTTTGTTTGTTTGTTTGAACGCGCTAATCTCAGAAACTACTGGTCCGATTTGAAAAATTCTTTCAGTGTTAGATAGCCCATTTATCGAGGAAGGCTATAGGCTATATATCATCACGCTTAGACCAATAGGAGCGGAGCACCAATGAAGAATGTTTCAAAAACGGAGAAAATTTATTACTATTGAGAGACGCAGACGAAGTTGCGCGGAGCAGCTAGTCGAATGATAAATCACCGGTCTTTCACAGTTCACTGTGATTAAGTCCCATGCCTACTAGTTACCATAGTAGAGACTCTGCCGTGTGTGAGATGTGACAGTTATTATTATTATTGAATCACAAGTATAAGCTTGTTTTTTTTTTCTAGGAGTCAGGCAACGGCCTCATCATAAGTTTGAACCCGATAACGGGTGCATTGATAGGCGAGCGTTTGCTGCAGTTGGACGTGCAGCTCTTACAAGTTGCGTTGCTACACAAACCTGACAACGAGAAGTTACACGCCCTTATATTGTTGGACAAAGACGAGAATGTGCAGGTAAATATTATAAACATAAAAATAATAATAATAAAATATATAAAAATATAAATGTCTGTCTGTCTTGGTCTGTTTTTTTTTAATGAAATATACTTTGTTGTAAAAATAAAAATATAAATGTCCGTCTGTCTGTATTGGTCTGTTTTTTTTATGAAAAATACTTTGTTGTATCAAACAAAGTTAAGGATTGGCTTGGTTAAATTTAAAAAAAAAAATTGTCGGTCACAAGACGGCTGGCAGATGTGAAACATAAAAATTATTTTGTAGAAATAATAAGTATAAAAGGATAGGTTATATTTTTTAATTAGATTTTTTGCTGTCATTTGCACATGGTGACGCATCGCCACACCGTATTCACGACATGTGGCGACGCGTCAGCACACCAACAGCCGGTCTGACCCCCCTCATTAGATGTTGTACACCAATAATAGTAATGAATGTTGTCAGGGTAAAGTAGTCGCCTCGCTAATGACTACTCCTTCACCTATTTTGTGGGTTTAATATCCACACGAAACAGTTTTATATATATCTATTCGCGTTAATATAAAAAATAATGCAAATAGATATTTATGCATACAAATATTTGCACCGAACATGAATTAAAACCGTTACATATTACGGTCTTCGGTGTCACTTCGTCACCCAAAGCTACCAAAAAATTGTAACCAATCTATCTGAATTACCTCTAATATAAAGAGCATCCCCTAGTGCATTTGTAGAGATTTAAATATTTTTAAAGTAATTATTAGCTAAAATTTATTGTTTTAATAATTTTTACAGATTTTGCCGATATCAGCGGCACCGTTAGTAGAAAATATGTATATGTACGTAGCGGAGAAGACGACCGCCACAGTGCACGGCTACGCAATACTGTACGATGGCAAGGTGAGACAGTATAATTAATATTTTGGTTTTGCTACAAATTAATTGTGTTATTCTTATTGACATTAAGCTTACATTAATTTCAGAAGTATCTGGCTCCTGCACTAGTAGATACTGTATTGCAGGAGCCAGTGTCCTCCCCTTTTTACATAGACAGTCACAATTTTGGTATAATAAAAAAAAAATAGTACAATTCATGCGCTCAATTCTTAATATGCAAATAGTGTGGGGAAGAGGCCATTTTTTTGTTGTTTTTGACTGAGTTAGTGAAGTAACAGGGGCCCAAACCTCACCTCCCAGCCCTAATCTATATGAACTCCAATATTCAAAACTAAGACATCAGTTTTTTTGCAAAATAATATGAAAAAAATGCATAAACTTTAAAAGAATTTCTCATTTCTCCTAAGAACTGATATAATAATAAAAACTGATCAAACATCATATTTTATTCGTTATTAACGTCTGATCGCTTCGACACCTTAGATAATTAAAAAAAAACGAAAATAATATTTTGATTCATTGATTTGATAGATTCTGCTTCCAAAACCACTAAAAAAAAAACTATCAAAAATATTGATGTTTACATAACTGAATAGTATTTCCGACATCTTTTGGCCATAAGACCATCATGAAAACCATGACCATCATGTTTTAACTTTGCAGTCACTGATAGCTCAAAAGACATGGTTGACCCACTTGGGTGGAGGGCCGGGGTCGGGTCACCGCATCGTGACGGCGGCGCGCAAGGCCCCGGGCGAGCGCGTGCACTCGCCCGGGCGGGTCTTACCTGACAGGAGCGTGCTGTACAAGTACATCAATCCCAACTTGGTTCTATTCGTGACTGAGGGACCGGACGCGTTGCACAAAGGTACTGGTGGTGTTTGTTTTATACTTTAATGTTTTACTTTTCTTTGTATCCTGTTTGAATAGGTTTCTTATTCTATAGGTTCAAATCTCTAATAATTCTTCATGATATAATTGACATACTAATGACAGTACATACGTACAACACACACACACACACACACTTGTACGCACGCACGCACATACATTTACATATACACATACACGCGCACACACACACACCGCGTACACATACGCACATAAATAAACTGAAACAAGCCCTCACAAGTACATCCTCACTCACTTTTTAACGTTTTATTTATTTATCTTAAGTTTACCGTAAAATCACTACTATTTTCTGTAACTGTTAAGGAGACCGGCACTGTACCTCCTTATCACAGACTAATTCGTAGCCTATTTAGGCGGACAGTACTACACACCTATTATTATTGCATTTAGTATGTAAAACTACATGTATCCTATACTTATAAAACTTATAATCATATTTTTAGTAAATAAAAAGATATTATTATTCGAAATCAAATACCTGTCCTCGTTATGATTTCACTTAAATGATGTGCATGGAAACGTAAGGAAAGTAATTTCCTCTTCGAATTTCTCGTATCATTTCTGTTAAAACAGAAACCCCTATCTTGAACTTTACTCTACTGATGCGTTACATCAACAATAACAATAACTTGACAACTTAAATAACTTCGAACACGGCCGTCCGATCCTAAATTAGGCAGAGCCTATGTTGTAGAACCAGATTCTAAATACATGTTATAGATAAATTACACCCAATCCCGAATGTGCTCATTATACAATTATTTCATTTCGGTGGGAATCAAATCGACGACTTAGTCTAATAAACTAATCAGAAATAAATAATAAAAAAGAGTATGATGAAAAGATGTAGTTAGTCATAAAAGGGAGAGACATTCGATATTGATGGTGGGGCGAGTGAATAACACAAGCTTGGTGCGTGCAGATGTGGTGGTGGCGTCGTGCGTGGACGCGGCGTCGGGCGCGGTGGTGGCGGCGCAGGCGCATCGACGTGCGCGGGCGCTGGCGCTGGCCGTGCACACCGAACACTACGTGGCCTACCTCTACTACAACGACAAGCACCGCCGCACTGAGATAGGTCAGTCTCATCTCATAACCTTTCCTTACTTTTATATACGACTTTTATTATTTTCTCTCTGCCTTTAACATAAATATCATTTAAGAGTATGAAATTATATTTGAATGAAATTAATGCTGTAGGTAACTGGCATTCAGAAAACATTTAACTCGCCACGCCGCTTCCTTCTACGCCGAGTGTCGTGGGTTCAAACCCCACATGGGACGAAACTTTTTGTGATCCATAAATTGTTGTTTTGAGTCTGGGTGTTTTTTGTGTCCGTTTCAAGTGTGTTTGTAAAGTCCCCATCGACCCAGGATATATTCCTAATGCGGGTGTTGCCTTTTAAAAAAAAACTCTGTATCGAACATAAATTGCAAATGATTGAAAATACCTTTTATGACAGTTGTGAGATCCAAAGTTCATCGGGACTGAACTGTCACCGAAGTTTTATTACGAGAATTGGCCTTCAGGTAAATAGAGTACCTGGGTCGTAATCGAATTCACGGTCTCTGGTTTAACAGTCAGGATCGCTGACCACTCGACCGACAGGCCCATCGAAACGTCAAAAGTATGAATACAATGTTATGAAGTGGACTAAATCGTGTATAACGTCGGTGTCGGCAGCCACGATGGAGCTGTACGAGGGCAAGCAGCGCTGGCTGGCGGCGGGCGCGGCCTTCAGCTCGCTGGAGTCGTGGCGCGCGCCCAGCGTGTCGCGCCACGCCTACGTGCTGCCCGCCGCGCCCAGCGCCGCCGCCGCCACCACCACCGAGCGCTCGCTCACCGACAAGCACATCCTGCGTGAGTGCCACCTGCTACCTCCACTTTTTTTTTTTCCGTGCGGAAATCCCCTCGGATACCACCTGTCGGTGGCATGTCGGACTCGAACCGACTAAAACCGCACGCCGTCTCGGGTACTAATAGCCGGGGAACCAGGTATACCCTAGAAAGGAAGTCCCTGGTGCAAACCTGCAACCTCCACTACCGACTGATTCATCTCTCTACGATCGTTCCAATTAGTACTTACCGACATCAAACACAGAGTTCTGTAACACGAATAACATTTCTGAATTTTTTTATCACTTTGTTTTTGCTACATTACAAAACATGACAACTCAACAACAGTTTCTACATTTTGATAGCAGAAACTGTTATTATTAGATGGCGTAAACGTCGATTTTTATCAAAAAAGAACAAAAAGATAAATAAAAGTATTATAAATTAAACATTTACCTAGTTAAAGTGAGGTTCTAGACATTTATCCTAATTTATTTTATAAACGACCACGCAGTTCGGAAAAACCTGTTTGTAGTGTACATATTGTAATGTACGGGCATTGAATTGAGCATAATATCGCAGTGGCGCTGTCGTCGGGCGCCGTGGTGGAGGTGCCGTGGGTGTACCTGGAGGCGCGGCGCGGCGTGGGGCCCGACCTGGAGGGCGTGGTGCCCCCGCCCCCCGCCCCCGACGTGCCGCTGCCGGCCGAGGCGCGCCTGAACTACAACCGCACCGTGGCGCGGCCGGAGCGCGTGTACACCGCGCCCGCCGGCCTCGAGTCCACCAGCCTCGTGCTCGTCACCGGCCTGGGTGAGCGCTGCTCTACTGCATCAACTACAACACCAACACACATAATTGCTTTTTATTAAAAAATGGTATATGGGGACAAACGAACAGATAGGTCCGTTGATGATAAGTGACTACCTCCGCCCGTAAAGACATGCAATCCTCCCCCAGAATCCAGAGGAATGGGATTTGGGTTGACCTGATATGGTTCTATAAATTTAGCATCCACAAAAAAAGTGAATATTTTTAATCACTGCTTCGTGCTAATGTTCTCATATTATGTTAACCTTTCACAGATCTATTCTACACGCGGGTGGCGCCATCGAAGACGTTCGATCTACTGAAGGATGACTTCGACTATTATTTAATAACGATAGTCCTCGGGGCCTTAATAGTGGCCACGTATAGCACCAAATACTTTGCGTCGAGGAAGATGCTCAAGCTCGCGTGGAAGTGATGCTAGTAATGTAATTTCAGGGGAATTTGGACTGTGTTGCGTAAGTAATAAAGTGTAGATTTAATTGATAATTGACAAATGTAATATATTGTCGAGAACTAATAAGGTTTAATACGACTTCTTGTATTTTTAAGCTATTGCATAGCTTCTATCGAGGGCCTTGAGCGCGGGGACCGAATCCAGAAATTCCGTAACGAAAAAAAACCTCACGCTAAAAACAAAACAAAAAACAGTACCAAAATCAAATGCTGAACGTCAAAGGAAATTTCGTCAACATAATGCAGAAAAATCTTACATGAATATGTAATTTGATTTAATAATAATATTTTTTATTTATTTACTTAAAAACAAATTGTAATATATGCTTCAATATTTTTATTTAATAAAAGAAAAAAAAATGTTTTCTTATCGGTCACCACACTCAAAAAGTGTAACTTGAATTAATATCAAAGAAAAAGAAATACTGCATAAATAAAATAAATAAATAATTATAATTGCATAAGTTGATACAAAATGCTATGCAATAGCTTTACCGCGGCAGTCCCCGAGTGCCACACGTCTTTTTTTTATATTTCTGTTCCATTTTTAAAACGTGTATGTACATGAGATTGTTCCATTTTCAAAAGTTAGTCTTTGTTTATTTCAAATTCAAAAAGTTTATGTTTAATTAATTTTTTTATATTAAATAAACATGAGGCAACGTCTTAGTAGTCTCCAGGATGTCTATGGCATACTAACAATACAGCATTTTTCTATATTACACTAAAATGTGTTTGTAACAAGCTACGTGTGTTTATATTTGATTAAACGCGGTCTGTGACTAAAATATCATTCAGTCTGACGTAAACACACTAGAAATAAAGACTAGAAATGAAGTGCATAAGCTGACATTTCAGTTCATTACAAAGTCGATAATAAACCCTGTAAAAGGTCTTGGTAACTTTTGGTATCTTTAGACAAAGAAATTTAACTACAAACTGTATTTGTTCTAAGTCTACAAGGAATTCAGGATAATACTTTAATCAAAACCAGGCGTAGTGTGTTTATCAATCTAGTCCTAGCCAAGTGACAGATCGATTCGAATTCCTGTCCCTCTCCAAATTTAACCTGGTGGGGTTCATCAACAGCCTTTAATAGTACACTGCTGGACGTAGGCCTTTTCTTAGAAAGGAGGTTTTGGCCTACTATACTACGCTGGCCAGGTGGGATTGTATAGGGTTTTGGTGTCAAGTTTTATTTCTCTTTGCAGTGCTGTTGTCTTGCGTAGCCTCCCCTCTTAGTCGACACCAACGAGATTAATACGGGTAGTGATACTCCGTATTCTTAATCCGTCACCACATGGAGATATACTCTTATATGTATACTTATGTCCTACAAGATATGTTTTTGTGTCTGTACTATTAGTACATTAAGGAGGTATCTTTTTAATCGAACCCCCTTATCCTGGCTTCAGACTTACGAAGCTGTAAACCTCTATACAATTATAAAGGCAATATCCTATTTGTCTCATAGCGTCAAAACTGAATTAAAACAAAATCGACAGACACTTGCTTCTCACAAACACATAGTTATCATATCAAATTATTTAACTCCTATGAGAGTTAGAGGTTAGAGAGAGTTAGTAGGTTATGAGATGCGCAGGCGCCGTTCCGTAGTCTATCCAATATTAATTGTAAATAATACAATAATGTGAAATGCCACTGCCATGGTCGCCTTCACAGTCCAAGCTCCTTCGTTATAATAAAATTTTGAATAAATAAATATATCTGTAAAATAGTTTGATGGTCGTGAATGATTTGTGTTCACGTTAAGTAAATGAATACATACCGACACAGTTAGATACATAAATTATGATTATTATATATTGTATACATGCGCTCAGTTGCTTAAAGAGGCTGTTGATCCTGAGAGGATGATGTTCCTTATATTAAAAAAAAACATATTATTGAAATAAATACAGTATTTATTTATGTGTGTATTTCGAGGTTGCTTGACTAGTTTTAAGCCTGACAGAGCCCATACAACATGGTGCAAAACGACCTGTCGCGTCAGTATGTAACCTTTGTCACAGAACCCCGGTAGGGCACAACCCTACAAGGGTTCTGTGACTGCACTTAAGAAGTTCATAGGTGAGTAAAACTGAGTATCTTTAAGTATAAAATTACATTCATCTACGTCTGACATGAATATGCTAATTCAAATTAGTATGTCCACACTATTGGTTCTAGATAGGTCGTATTGTGTTTGGCAAGTACTGGCGCATTGTGTGGCTAAAGTTTGATTACAAACAACTGGGCGTATGTAATCTTATTTATAGAAAATATGGTCGTTCTCGATTGATTCAGTGATCAAATTTGTTCAAATAGATATAAAATATATACAGTCTAATGTGAGGTTAAGATTAAGTGCTTTGAACACTTTCCCGTTTTCTACCTTTTGCTTTATTGACAATCAAACAAATAATTATAAAACCAAACCAAAAAATAGCTACCTTAAACTTATCTATAAAAAAATAACTTGTGTATGATATCGAATATAGATTGTAGTGTACTGGGGCAATGGACCAGAGCGAAGGGCACAGCATAAAGTCAATCGCACTAGTTATATTAACAGGGACTTCATCATGATTTAGTCTCCCATATACGTTTATCCCCTAAGCGGTAAGCAGAGGCGACATTTTGCCGACAGTTATTTTAAAATTAGCCCAGAGCCCGCACCCAGTAAGGATTAATCCTTACTAGGTGCGGGCTGGGGCTGGAAAATAAAATAAATGAAAAAGCAGTTAATGAAGAACCATCCCTGTGATTCTGGGGGTAGTTACTTAAAGCTTATTTCTCACATTAAACTGTATATACATATCACAATAATATTAGCTAGTGCAATTTAGATGTATTATTTATTTAAGGGTGGTTTGTAGTATATTCACTTTAATTGTTTGACAACCATTCCACGTCTCGTTACCTTACATACATAATGGTTATAAATATTATTATATTTAAATTCTGGTTTTGAAGGTCAATTCTCGTAATAAAAATTTGTTCAAAATTCAATTCCGATCTTTTATGTACATAACTCTGTATGTGCTATTTAAAAAACACAATTAATTGGTTTTGGTTTTAGAGTATTTGGATTGGGTGGTTTAAACAGTTCCTTTTATATTTCATTAGAGACGGTATGTAGTGTATAGTTACTATGCAGTTATAAGGGCAATGTATAAACATATGATATATGTGTATTGTTTTCAGTGAACTTTGAACTTTTTTGTTAAAGGTGAAATAACTAAATATCTATTATTTAATATAGCATCTAATATATTACTATGAATACGACGGTTCTGAATAAATCTGAAGAAAAGCAAAAGGCATCTGAAACTGTTTTCCTGCTGTGCAATCCTGCAGTGTTTCAAATTTTTTTTGTTGTAGTAGGGTACCAATAAACATTTTATTTAAATGAAACAAATACTGTGAATATTTTTTTGTTAAGAAATGTAACCGCCATTCGTTTGTTACAACGAACATGCGTAAACTTTATCAAGAGCATTGGTTACTTGTATTATTCACACGCTGTTGGTATCTACCTCATGGTTGTATTGCTGCTTGAACATCCACAAACGCGATATAATGACACTAAGGGCCCCGTCCGCGCAGCAATATCTTACCTTGCGTTTTTCCCCCTAAATTTCTGTGACATATGGGATCTATATAGGACTATACGCACTGGCGGAAAAAAAATCTCTCGACTAAACAATCGGTGATTTCATACACAATGAACGCGATACAGTGGCGATTTATTTCCACGGAATTTTGCGAAAAAAGATGCACGATGAAATATCGCTGTGCGGGCGGGCCCTAACATATTTTTATAAGGACCACACAGCCACAAACCGTGGGACAGCCATCTTACGGCACAAATGGTCCGGCTTGACTACTTGTTCCGAGTTGAGTGCTACCACGGCTGTACAGAAAGCTGACGTTAAACCATTCCTTCGTTGCTTTTCACCAAGAGAGTGAGGTCACCAGAGTCCAAAATCCCCCCCTCTTTTCCCTCTTCCTATTTCTGAGGGGGAGGGGGCTTAGTGGGCGGCAGCGCACTTGTAACGCTTGGGTTTTAAACGTCCATGGACGGCGGTAGTCGCTTACCACCATAATACCAGCTGTACCCTACCTCGCTTCGACGTGGCACATTGTGGTTGCATTGATGAGAAATGAGGAATAAAACTGGCGGAAAAAAATATATACAAACAATCCTTGTAGCGGGTTGTGTATCGTATCAAAATTTGAGCTCTATTAGTGCAGAACTTTTTGAGTTTTTAAAGCGTACAGAAACCAACTTAAACATTTTAATAAATATAGAAATCCTGTTTTTGTGACGTATGTATTTCGGAGGTGCCGAACTAGCTTAATTCCCGATGAAAAAGCTTGCTTCGCACTATAATACCCTTCTTGTTCGATATTGTGTTACAGAATCATCGTTAAACTGATATAAAACTGTAATGAATTCCTTCATATGTATAAATATTTAAAAATAGAATCTTTTGTTTATGGTTAAGTGTAGTTTAAAATGTTGCTGAAAGTTAAAGCTACATAAGAGGAGGTATAGAATGAACCATAAAATAACTAGACTTTATATTTATTAATATTATTTGTATTTAATTCGTTCTATCATCACTAGGTGTGTTGCCAATAACAAATATAAAAATATTTCATATGTAAGCGAGGTTTTTTTGTTTTAAAGTTTTTTTCTTGCTCACACAGAGTTGTTAATTAGCAATTAAGGTTAATGTTTTACCATATCATTACTATTGTTTATGTTACCTTATTTAATGTTGCAACAGATAAAATAAAAAAAATAGCCATAGACTAAAACGTCGATAAGTTTTGATTTTTAACTGACACTAACTTAACTGTGATCAGAATTAACGACATTTTATAATTGAGTAGCGTTTGAGTAGTCAGATATACATATATGTAATGAATAGTGATGCGTAGTAATATACCATTCTATAAAGAAATAAAGTCATTAAATATCCTACTGAAAACAAGTGTTTACTTTGTGTAAAGTTAGATATTTGTTTCACTGGGGTGGTAACTAAGCATACATTCCACCTGATGATAAGTGGTGCCTATAGCTTGTCAAAGCTATATCATTGAAAAGGCTAAGAGTGGCAGCATAAGTTACTAAATTACATATTATTTTTTTAAAACCCGACACATCTTGGGTTGAAATTTGTGATAGTGTATAGTATTCTATTAGTCAAGCCCTTTCATTTGATACCCATATTGAGGTAGTTGTGAAAAATGTGTCTTGGACCGATTTTCATCAAACATAGCTAAGAACACTCCAGACTAATTCACCTTTAAAAAAATAACAGAACATCAGAATCGGTTCATCCGTTCGGGATCTACGATGCCACACACAGAAACAGACACGTCAAACTCATAAAATCTCGGCGTTCTTGCATCGGGGGTTAAAAAGGTGGACTAGAGAATTATTCTTTGTCACAAAATAATGTATAAAAACCTATACAAAAACACAGGATTGTGTTGAATGCAGAAAAAAGACAAATCATTTGGATTCATTTCTATTCTGAAGGTTTTTCCGCTGTTATCCTTTGTTCTGGTGCCTTTACGTATTACTTCGCTAAACCACGCTTGTGATATTGGTGTCAAGGAGCGATGGTGCTTTCTCAGACGAACGGGCCTAATTCAAGATGAAATTTGATGTTACAAATGTTTATAGATACTGGTATACTCTTATCATCAGGCGGTCGGTGTGCCTTTTTACTTTATAGTATTAAAAACATTCTAAATATGAAAGCAACCTCTGTTTGTTACTGTAGTTATTAATACACTTTTGTGTGCTATGGTTATAAGAATTCTTATATTCACTGATGTAGGTTTTTCTTTTATTACACAATTAAAATACATTCTAAAATCAAACAAAAATGCAGTAATTTTGGATTGCTATAATCTTTACCAATGTCATGAAGAGACTGTACTGCTCGGCCCTACTGGGTCATAAATACCTAGTTTTATTTACTTTATGGGACTAAATTGTTTTACTTTTGTTGATGAATTTGGAATTATTTTTTGCTATTGGTGTATGTATATCATTATAATATCAGAAAATAACAGAGCAGGCAGAACTCGTATGTTCTCATTCGTTCTTTTTTTTTAACACTTACACTATGGTAAAGTAATTTAAAACGGTACGCGGCGAATTATACGTTTTAATGTGCTTTAATTCTTAGTTTATAAGTGACATTGGTTAGTAATAAAATGCATGTTATTTTGATTCACAGTCAAAGCACATTACTTTAAAATAAATGTGAGAAACCGAGCAGAGCAATAATAAGATATTCGTACTAATTCTGTTGTTCGAAAACTCCCTAAACTAAAAATCACAAAAAAAGCTTTTAGTCCTGTCAAATACTACGTTAAGAATAGGAAACGTTAATTGACAGGACTAAATATTTTTTTTGTGATTTTTATTTAGTTTAGAGAGTTTTTGAACAATAGAATTAGAACCATTGTTCGATATGTCACTCGGAAACTTTAAAAGAAATGACAGGAAAACAAAACAACATTGTAGTCACTCACTTATTTCGAACAAGTTGTAAAGTATATAATACAAAACAAATATATATTTTTTGCTGGATATGGCACTGAAGACATTATAGAACAATTAGTTATTACTGTTACATAGTACCACAAAACCGGATTTTGTTTGTGCGTGTTATACATTTTATTAAAATAATTTACTGTTTTATGTTTTTGTAGAACTGCAGCGACATCATAATAGACTTAATAACGATAAACTTACCTCCGTTTTTATTTCGTTTGTTATACAGTTGGCATATCAGATTGAGTTCAAGCGAGAGTGGTTGCAATACTTAAGTTTAAATATATAATATGAACTGTAATGATATATAGGTTTATTTGTTTTCCGTGACCAATGTTTTGTAAAAAAATAAAATTTAAGTAATTACTGCCATACTTTGTTTCATTTAATTACCATTTTTAGTCTAAAGCGTGTGTGAAAATGAACTCTTATTTAGTAGCAAAATCAGATAATTTAGTTTAAGTAATGTAGGAATTGGTACGAAAATTAATGGTATCTTCTATAGTACATAAACTATGGTTTGTCATTATCTGGCTCTGGGTAGGAAATTGGAAGAAATAGAGAAATAGAATAGAATATTCATTTATTCGAAGGAATAGTAATCGAAATTCTTAGATTAATGATACAAATAGTACAAAATGTTCCGCCTCGCAGAAGGCATACAGATATAACACTGACTACTAATTTATTTTTTCGATATTGGAAAAAAATGATTTGAAATGTTAGCGTAATTATATTTCGGTAGATTTACCTTTTTTTTTTATTTTAGAAGTTGCAGACGAGCATACCTGATGGAAAGTGACCATCGCCGCCCATGAACGTCTGCAACTCAGGAGTCACAAACGCGTTGCAGGCCTTTTAGGAAAGCCTTAAGTAACTGTTGATTTTAGTTCCATATATTACTGAAATATAAAATTCTGCCTTTTTATAAAGTATAAGTCTTAAATTACGGTCGTCGAAATAAAACTAAAATAAAAATAATAAAACTAATATAATTAAGAGACCATATAAGTGAAAATTAATTTTATGTTATTCTCATATTCCGTATCAGTGGGTAGATAGGGGGTGCCAACGACCGGCTCTAGGCGCAGGTGCTCTATGGCGGGGGGCTGCAGCACTCGGTCGTTGTTGCAGAGCTGTCGCAGGTGGTACCACGCTGCGCCGTAGTCGTAGTCCAGCATCATTTTGAAGAATTCCACTGCTGATAACTGTAACGCAATTTTTACTCCACTTATAATTGAAGAGTGTGTATTGATGGTATGTTTTGACCGATCTGTCAGCCACAGATCGTGGATTCGATTCCTACCAAAGACCAAGGAATCGTGTGATGAGCAGAACAAAGATATTCCATGTCTGGGTCGATTTATACCCAATTTATAAGCATTTATAAATAAATATGTATGTTTATCAGCAGTCTGGTTGCCATAGTACAGGTTATGTCTAATATGGAATCAAATGGCAGTGTGTCAAGTTTTTACATTTTCATTTTTGTTATATTGTAATGCGAAAGCTTCCGACAGGATAATATAGATTTAAACCATATTAATTTATGTTAACTGTATTAAGTAATTACAAGAGTTAGTGAAATACTTACAGTATAAATTTTAATGTATATGGTAGTTTAAGTTTAAATAACAATGACGATTTGTGTCTAAATTATGTCTTGAGTATTTCGTGCAATGTGAGGTATATTATTTTAAAACTAAATCGCCGCTAATTTCAACTTTATGAATTTAATTTCTCAAGATTTAACTTTGTTTTTTTAATTGCAAAAGATGTGAAAGCTGGTCGTCTGTTCAGTCGTGCTAACTTGGATCTTAAAAGTATTTGCGTTTAATGTTGCGAGACCGAATGTAACTCCAAACAATTTAATAATTATTTTAAGTCTGCCGGAACGTATTACTGTTAATACGTGGTTGACAAAATTAAGTCGGTCTTGTAAAATATTCTACGGAAAAATATCAACTTCTCAAAAGAGTGATTAAAGGAAAATGACCTGTAGCGGTTTAGGTTGTTTGTCAGAGAGGTAGGGCTGCACGGCGTCCATGGCGGCGGAGAGCGCGCGCTCGGCCAGGCGCAGGCGCAGGGCGAGCCGCGCCAGCGCCGCCAGCGCCGCCACCTGCGCGCTGTAGGCGGCGCTGGCGCGGTACCACGAGCCCACGTCCTTGCGGTAGCTCTCGCGCGCCGTAGCGCTCAGGAACGCGCACATGCTCGGCAGCACCTCCCTGAAAGACGCATACCATTCATATATTGCTAACATAGTAATAATAACTCTAAACGTTGACATACTACGATTGACGATCTATCATTATAATAAAGTACAAAAAGCCTCAAGATAAAAATTTAACTTATATTACAAATCTTATAAATGTTTTTTTTTTACGGCGCCGTATGCCACCTAGAACACGTCTTACTGAGTGAGCTGCCAGGAAACAGCCGTTTGACAAAAGCAAATAAGTTTACATTACCTACCTTCACATTGAAAATAACATCTACTAAACACCTAACGATCAAAGTGATCCGTATTGTTTAGGTGAATAGTTACAAATAGCTGTCTAACTCAAATTTAAGATGAAATGAAAAAAAAATCCTTTAGGGAGTATTTTTTCACTAAGACCTAACGATATACACAGAGAAAAACATAAGAAATATATAGAAGGTACTAGAAAACACATAACTAAATCGATTGAATAGAACAGGCCGATGAAGTCGTAACTAGTCAATATTATAATTACCTATAGTGCGGTCGCAAGCAGGAATATTTACGTATAATTTTTTTTGACTTTTGTGCCTACTGCCAGAGGTAAAAAAAATTGCAGATTATAAAATATACAGAATATGGATAATTTAATTTATTCATTAGATAATTACTTAAAGTTATATTAAGTTTATACGAATATACTATACTCAGGTTTACACCAAATCACCGCTCTGACGCCATATCGTAAAGTATGGTTCTTAACTGTGATACTAGTTATAATATTTTTTTTAATCAAATTAAATGATTTAATTATTATTTTAATATTACTTATTTCACAATAGTATCCATATAATGTAAAAATGGAGTAACGTTGTCATTTAAATATGAAAAGCAACGGCAAATCAAATATCCGATGTACAAACGCAGAGCTTATTGTAACACTCAAAAAGTTTACAATCTCTCCAAGTCTCCACACAACGGTCATCGAATTAGTGTGAGCGTGAGGGCAACAGATTTACGCGCGAGGGACAGAAATAGGATAATAACAAGTCAATGTACAAAATTTTTACTGCTCCGCGAACTCACTATAGGTATATTAAATATTATTTTCAAATGCCAATCATTTGTGATAAAAAAAATTAAATTGGTATGTTGGTATAAAAGTGTAGTAATGCATCATAATCACTAGGGAATCGTTGTTTCCATAATAGTAATATCCCTTAATAGGAACCCTGCCATTGGCCTGCCAAAATCTAACAATGAGTGAATTATTAGGATTAAAACTTTGCACTAAAAGTGCCAATAGGGAATATGCACGTGACACCAAAATGGACAAAATATTTTTATTTGTAATTTTTATTGCTAAAAGAAGATACCCATACAATTATTTTTGAAATTTATTATAATTTAATAGTGAAATTTAATCATCAAAAATTGGCTTTTTTAAGATTCCCTCGCAAATTTCTAAAACGCAACGCTATTGGTTGAATAAAACGTGACGTCAACCTACACTGTCAAGAGTGTCAACAAGTTGTGTGTATTTGTAATATTTGGTTTCTGGTGATTATTTGTTTCATTTTAAGTTAATAACTAATACGTTTTCAGTGTTAAATTATTAAATTCCCGTGTAGAAAGACTCAACACAATGACTGAATATACTTTGTCAGGTGCAGTTTTGATATTATTTTGGCACAAAGGAACGGCACAATATTTATAATAAGTTTTTATTGGCTTTTCCATGGGAATAAGTTAATTTATATCACTCACTTTTTTAACTTTCACAAACTTTGTGAACTTCACTCCGTTGTTGACATCGAATTCGTCTGAAAGTGTAGTCTGACGTCACAAAAAAAGCGCGCCAAAATGGACGTGTTCAAATTGCCCCAAAATGATAGTGATATTAATAATTTTATTTTTGCTTAACGGATTATATTTCGGATGTGTTATATTTATTTTTAGTAATGTAATAACGAGTAGAAACGTTTAAAAAAATTAAAAAAATACATGCATATTCCCTATTATGTGCCTGTCCCTGTCCTGTATGATCCTATAAGTTTTGAATATTAAATTCTAAATGTATGTAAAAGTGTGTCACCATGGAATAATCAAAGCAGTATTAAATCAATAGTTGTTTCAATAACTATTGTTAACTCCCTTTACCTAACTATAACGGTAAGTAATATACACAAAAAACTTATGTTTTTTGAACTTACTTTTGTGTCTTTTGAACTTACTTGACTGCTCGGTTCTGGATAAAATCCTTGGACAACTCTGCCATAGTGACTAGTAGATCGAACGCTCTCTTCATAATGGCGGGTTCCGCTTGAAACTTGCTCACCAGAGGAGCCCACGTCAAGTGCACCAACGGCAGTAGCTCATTCTCATACTGCCTCAGGATCGGGAACCCGGTGTTCAGCACTTGTAGTGCCAGTATGCAGTTGTCTCGATTTGACGATGCGACATAGTTTAGGCATCTTTTTAGGATTATAACCGTTACGGTGACGTACTGTGGGTGGGGGATGGATGGTTCTGTAAACAAATTCATATTTTTTATTTACTACAGATTACCTGGCGGTTGGATTTCGTTATTTTTTTAATTGGTTTGTGTTATTTCTGGATCAGTATAACTTGAGCTGTCATTGTACATATAATTTGTACTTTGACAGGTTCAAATTTATATTAGACCCCAAAAGTTTTATACAGTGGTTTTTAGGGTTCCGTACCCAAAGGTTAAAATCGAGCCTATTACCAAGCCTCCGCTGTCCGTCCGTCCGTCTCTCTGTCTGTCACCAGGCTGTATCTCATGAACCGTGATAGTTATAATTATAATTTTCACAGATGATGTATTTTGGTTGCCACTATAACAACAAATACTAAAAACATAATAAAATAAATATTTAAGGGGGCTCCCATGCAATAAATGTGTTTTTTCTGCTCGATATTGATAACGGCAACCGGTACACGCTTGAGTTATTCACAAAATATTTAGTTACATATTCACTTTAAAAATAATTAATTACATTAAAATGAAACAAATATTTAAGGGGATTGCCCATACAACAAACATGTTTTTTTTGCCGTTTTTATAGATAATGGTACGGAACCCTTCGAGCGCGAGTCTACGAAACAGGTATGAAACTATTGCTGCACATAAAGTGGCTAAATTGTAAGTACACATGTATGTTAAATTTTTGTTTCATAGAAATAACCTTTAATTATAAAAAAATAAAATTTGTAAATAAATGAACTTTAAAGTAGTTTATACCTTTATTTATTTGTTTCTCGCTCTTGGCCGGTTTTTTTTTTTTTTTTTTTACTTTAGACATCCATATTTTTTTTTACACATCAACATTAAGTATTTCAAATATATGCTTTCGTTTGGTCATATTGAATTTAAAAAGGGGTGTACAAAGTTTTCTTTACGTATTGATATACAGATTTTCAGACTACATAATAAAAAGTATTGAGAATATCTTGAAACAACCAATTTAAATATTAACTATATATTGACTAGCCTGTTGGTCTAGTGTTAGTGATCCTGACTGCTACGCCAGTGGTCGTGGGTTCGACTCCCATCCAGAACAAATAATTGTGTGATAAGCACGATCATTTGTTCTGTGTCTGGGTGTACTTATATCTATAATATGTATGTATTTAGATATATGTTTATCAGCAGTCTGGTTATCATAGTAAAGGTTCTGCCTAGTAAACGGCCGTGTGTGAGAAATATATAAGAATATTATATTATAAGGTACTGGCTATGTTTGAATTTTGTAAAATAATATTTTGAATTAAGCAAATAATCCTATTATGTTCGTTAATAAATTTTCTAAAATTTCGTAACCAATCAGTAAGTAATATCTTGTATTTAAATTTCCTATATAAACAAATAATTCCTCACCCACAACGGTATCATCATAATCCAATTCATCCTCTTCTCTTTGCTCGAGATCTTCTCTGTACATCTCCTCCACAGTCTTGCCAGTCTCCTTCTCAAATTCCGCATCACTGAGCAGCCGTTCCTCCTGTTCTTTTTTCTCTATATGTTCCCTAGTATCTTTCAACAGATCTAAGTATTCGTTGCCTTGTCCCTCGCTAGGATCAAGCTCACCTATCATATACCATTTTCGTATACATTCAACAAATGTTAGAAACACTTGTAAATAAGCATGTAAATCTTTTTCATAATATTTATCACAACTTTGGACTAGAACCTGAAAGAAATAATAATTTTTTTTGTTACGAAACAGATTGTAACTTACCATTTCCAATTTATTTACATAAATATTCATTAGTGATGGTTCCGTGTGGTGACGGACTAAGAATAAAAAGTGTCGCCACCCCTATTCATCCCATGGGTGTCGTAACAGCCGACTAAGGGAAAACACTACGCAGAACACCAGCACTGCGAAGAGAAGGAAAACTTAACACAAACCCTATACCAACCCGTCTGGCCAGCGTGGTATAGTATGCCAAAACCTCCTTTCTAATCCCAAAACACCATATCTTCACAAGAAGATACTACATCCAGATACATGGAAATGACCGAGATCAATCCGGCATTAGCGAAGTCCGAATTTACACGGACGGTTCCAAGACTAGGTCAGGAACTGGAGCCGGAGTTTTCTCGCAAGACCTAAACATAAACATATCACTAGCGTTAGGCCAACACAGTTCCATATTTCAATGTGAATGTGTGGCAATAACTTACGCTGCCACAACGGCCATGTCAAGGGGTATTAAGGACTACAATATCCGAATAATATCCGACAGCATGGCCGTCTTAAAGGCATTGGAGGGCAACACAATGACCTCTGGTATTGTCTTCGAATGCCACCAAGCACTGGAACAGCTCGCTATATTCAATGGGGTAATCCTCCAATGGATTAAAGGGCACAGTAACTCACACGGGAACGATGCCGCAGATGAGTTGGCAAGGAGGGGCTCGGCAACCCCAACCTCTGGCCCAACCCCACTCCTGCCCATATCGTTTAACCAAATACGATGCTGGGTCAGGCAACGGACCTGTGAAGCACACAACCGGAGGTGGAAAAACTCACCCGGCTGCAGACAGTCCAAACTGGTGCTGAATCAAGTCACACCACGACTCACCTGCAGACTGATCAGTCTTAGCAGACCGGAAATCAGAACGGTTGTCGGAACTATTACAGGACATCTAGCCCTGAACCGACAACTATTCATAATCAATGCGACGGACAGTCCCCTGTGCAGGGGATGTCTGGAAGCTGAAGAAACGGCCGTCCACGTAGTCCTGGAATGCGAGGGAGTGGCCACACAACGGGCAAGTATCATTCCTGATACAAAGTCGCTCCTAGAAGCCTGTGAACGCCCCAGGAGGCTTCTGCGCTTCTGGAAGGAGCTTGGCTGGCTCACCTAGTCAACCAACCCTCGACGCATAAAGGACCACTCTGAGTCTAAATGCGGAAACCGAAGCCCACAACCAATACCAATACCAAAATACCTCCTTTCTAAGGAGAGGCATATGTCCAGCAGTGGACTATTAAAGGCTGTTGATGACGATGATGATGATGAGTGATGGATCGTTAAAATTTACGTCTATGGATACGAGGCCGTCCATAAATTACGTTATAGGTAATCGGTCGACGCAGTGTGACATCACGTGACAAGGGATCAGAGGGGTCTAAGTATCAAACGCGAAGTTTGAATTATTGACAGTAATATAATTAATCGTTTTTTGTATGGTTAATATTTTCTGAAGGTCAAACTATTCAAAATTCAATTTTTTTATTTTTATTTATTCTTTCAAAGTGTGAACATATTAATGAGAAAATTTTAACATACATAGCATTTCCTAAGCCACGAAGGTTTATAACGAATGCTAAGGGTTAGTCTCGATCGTTACAAAAAAAATTCAAAAAAAAAAAATAACAAAATAATAATAAGAAAGTTCTGAATACAGTATAAAACAATATTTCATAAATAAAAAGCGAACAGATAAAACAAGAAATAAAATAGATATGATTAATTTTGATTAAAAAGTAATGGCCGTACTTTAGATTTAAAGTTCACCGGCGTCAGAATATCTCTCAATTCGGAGGGTAGTTTGTTAATAAATTCCGATCTACCCTTGATCTCTCAAGATCTCTCTATAAAGGTGATAAGGGCGTGGATTTGGGTCGGATCACTGGCTCATTGGGGACGCACCAGTCACAAGTATATGGTGTTTTCACTAAAAAGCACCCCTACAGCCAGCCTCAGACTCTGAGGACACCCGGACAATGTGATTTCAGGTCCTCCCAGAACCGACGCCGCGCCCAACCTGGTCTTATTATGTATATTGTAGTTACTTATTTACTATAAGAATAGAATGTAATGATGTCATAATAATAGTAAAATAATAAATGTACTCACATCTTGGACAATACCGTAAAGATAGTTTAATATATTAGAATCACTGTACTCCATCACCACTGATAGTATCTGTAACGCCGATTTGCAATTCCACGCCTGAAACATAAAACAGACATAAAAAACCTATACACATTAATCAAAACTATTCTGAGATTTTCTTTAAGTTTTATTGGTTTATAGTAAGTGTTCTCTCTCTCTCTCTTTTTGGGTAAAACAATTAGAACACTATCCGTTTGTTAGAACACCATTTGTTTTTTATGGTATATGGGCAAAATGGTAGGCAGGTCACCTGATGGAAAGTGACTACCACCATCCATACAGACTTGCAACTCAAAAGACACAAGCGCCTTGACCCTTTTTGAGTGCTTTCCTATGCGGAACTCCCCTCGAGTCGACTCGACTCGAACCGACCAAAAACCGCACGCAGTCTCTAGGTACCAGTAGCCGGGGAACCAGGTATACCCAAGGAAAGCCCTGGTACCGCGACGTACCTCGGGCCATCTACGTAGACATGTTATGCCTTGGCATAGCATGTCTAAACTGGTTCTGAAGTTTAAAAACTTATTCGGACTTTACATTCATTTATACTTACATACCTTTTTCAGTCTAACAGTGACTTGGTTTGTGAAATAATCGGCGTTGTGGTTGATGAGCTCAGGGACTGAGGAATGACCACAGGCCTGTGCGATGGCATATATAGCCTTCAGTCCAGACAGGTGAAGCATCTCGTATTTGCTACCTGTGACAAAATTAAAGGAATTTCATATCGAAGCGGTTACATCCACATGTATACAAATAAATAAATTTGAAGTGTCTGTTTGTAATGTCAAAATAATAGGGGTTTTTATGCTCACACGGTTATTTGCACGATACTTATGCTTGAAAACTAGTTTAAATATTTTGTGTCTCTCTGTTAGTTCCGGGTAATCTTCAAAACGGCTGAACCAATTTTGATAATATTATACTACCAGGTAACTGTCTATATAAGGAGTAACTTAGGCTATTTTTCCTCTCAGGAAAACCCTATCATATTTTGCCTGGTCCTGGAATCGAACCCGAGGCCTCATGTATTCTTCCCTTGCCGATTTCGGCAACGGTGACTGCTGTCTGTCTATTGGTGGGCCAGGATGATTAGCCCTGTCATGTGCCCTCAGGTGACTGCAGTAGCCAACCTTATGCTCCTGCACTTTAACTGACTTCTAAAGCTAATCTAAAGGAGGGAATCTAAAGCCCCTAAATTTGTATTTGTTTAAATGTTATAATAATGATATAATATTCAGAAGTACGTAACGAAATTATTCAAATGGAATTTCAAATCGAGCAGCCCTTTTATGCTATGTTGTAATATATCCCAGAATATATTCATACCAACTCTCTCGAGCACCAAACACAAGGTCTTCAGCAAGTAGGGCTGGTATTTGCCCTTGAGCCTGGTGGCCATGATGCCCAGCCCCTCGGTGAGCAAGCAGGACAGCAGCATGTTCCGTTGCGCGTCGTAGAGCGTGGCGCACTCGTCGTGCGCGGCGGGCCGGCGCACGCGCGGCTTGGCGTAGCTGATGTCCGTGTAGCGAGTTTCGACCGCTCCTTCGTACAGACCTGCGGAATTATAACAGAGTATAAGAACTTATTAAATCAAAGTACACAAACAGTAAATACAAAGTTTATTTTGTTTCGACCACCAGGTTCAGTCTAGGGTCTCGTTTTTAAAGTGAATACTTCTTTAAGCGCGTTGGGCATTTTTAAACAACAAACAAAATAATGTATTTTTGAGATGGGAAAAAAGGATTGAACTAGCGACACTGTTACCGTTACCCACACCTCTGTATATAAGTATCTACATATAATGGCTCCGTATACACGAGAGTTGAGTTTGGGTTGAAATACATTGTTATATATAACTAGATATAATATAAACATATATTGCGTCTATAAGTTCAACATAGATATATGTTCATGTCGAAACTTTCCGAATAATAAAAAAAGCAATAATATTCCTGTAAATATTCCTGTTATAATCAAAAAGTTTAACATTTCAAGTTTTCACTTCTGTCGGCACTCCCGGAGTGCCAGTTTTTTTTTAAATGAAACTTCCGCACTGGGAATATATCCTGCGTCGCGGGGGACTTTACAAACATACATATAACGGACATTAAGAACACCCAGACTTGGAACAACAATTTGTGGGTCACACGGAACACATAGGGAACGGCGAGGTGACCGCTTAAAGCACTACTAAACTGCATTTAAATTGCAATCACGTCATCACATCAACAGCCTTTACTAGTCCACTGCTGGACGTAGGCCTCTCCTTAGAAAAGAAGTTTTGGCCTACTATACCACGCTGGCCAGACAGGTTGGTATAGGGTTTGTGTCCCTTCTCTATGTAGTGCTATTGTCCTGCGTAGTTTGCTCCCTTAGTCGCCTCTTACGACACCCACGGGATGAATTGCAATATACATATTATTATGAAATTGTAAATAAGAAAATATTTTTCGCCTAAATGTCCTGACTGATTTTATGAGGTTCTAAAAAAGAAAACTGAAACTAAACATACGGACTATCTGGAACTTGTGATTGTTTCACTAAAAAAAAGTAGTGGGGCAAGAAAAAGATGATTAAAAATTTAAAAAAAAGTTTCACGTCATTTCCACAGATCGCGTTGAAACCGTGCTACGCCAAATTCTTTTGGCCTAAAGATACAAAAACTAGGTCTTGAAAACGCTTTTTTATATTACCGACAAGGATATTTTTCATTTAATAACAAAAATCGAGAAAAACTTCGATGTTTTTGCTTCTATAATCTTGTAGTAGAATATTTAATATATAATATACCTCCCAAATCTCACACAGGGCCGTCTGATCCCAAACTAGGCAGAGCCTGTACTATGGTAACCAGACTGCTGCTAAACAAACTTATTTTTATTTTTAAATACATACATATTATAGATAAATTACACCCAGCCACGGAAGAATTACCGTGCTCATCACACAATATTTGTCCTAGGTGGGAATCGCACCCAAGACCTCCGGCTCAGCAGTCAGGGCCACTGACCACTAGACCAACAGGCCTGTTTAAAACATATGGGCTTCTACCCTATAAAAATTGATGTCAATAAGGCCATAAAATTTCACCTGGTACGCTATCCTTAGTCCAAGAGTGCGGGTTGTACACGCTGACGTCTAGCGTGTCTGCCTCGGTGAGAGGCGGCTCAGCGATATTCACTTCCAAAGGTAAGTACCACACGTCTTCTTCTATATAAGTGTTCAGTATACGTCTGATCAGATTCTCTGATGAATTAGAAGCTGGAAGAGAGAAAACATTTAATACTAGCTGTGCCCGCATAAGGTTGTGGTGGTAAAAATAAGCCAATGTTAAGCCTTCCCCGAAAATCAAAGTATCTTCATGTTAAATTTCATTAAAATCGGTTCAGCGGTTTAACGGTGAAAGCGTAACTAACAGACAGTTACTTTCGCATTAATCATATTGGTGAGGATTACAAAATACGACTTTGTTTAGGAAATAGTACTCGTATACAAAAATGGCACTGTTATCGGTGGATACGTGATCGTAAAAAAGTTGTGTTGTGATCACCTGTACACATGTTGTTCATGATATACACCAGTTCAGCGTCCCTGGTCTGGTGGAACATCTCCAGCAGGGTGTCGAGCACTAATTCGGCGCACTCTGCGTCACCCAGCTGGCAGCAGATCTCTGTGAAACGCCGCACGCACTGCTCAGAGTCTAAGTGGCGCAGCTTGCACCATGGAGAGTTCGTAGGAGGTGTTGAATTTATATCTGTGAACGAATAAACAGTCCATTATAATTATAGGTACTTTGTAAAGTTGTCCGGTCACTTCGTCGCGCCACACAACACGTATGTGTCGCGTGGCGTTGCATTTGCCACTTTCGTGTTCCGTGAAAGACACGACTGTTCGAGTGACATGTCATTTAAAACTGGATATCGAGGGTCAGAGAAGTATCGAGCGATAAAGTCCCACAAAGTTATACCACATGAAAATCGGACAGTATTTTTTAAATTATTTTTTTATTTACAAAGGCAACTCCCGCATTAGGAATGTATCCTGTGTCGCGAGACTTTACAAACATACATGAAAGGACACAAAGAACACCCACAAGATTCAGAACAACAATTTGTGTATCACACAAAGCGTCGTCCCATGTGAGGATCGTACCCACAACACTCAGCGAAGTAGTGAGCGGCGTGACGACCGCTTAAACCACTACGTTCAATGACAAGACACTTATAATTACGTCGTATATGTGATAGCAGAACGAAAAGCTAACAAGTTGAAGTGTAGGTTAGGTCAGGTGCGGGTTACCTCTGAGGGCGTGGTGCGTGAGCAGGGTGAGGTGCGGGTGCGTGGCGGCGGCCTGCGCCAGCGCCGCGCACAGCGCGTGGGCGCGCGCCGCCACGCTCAGCGCGCACGTGAGGCGCTGCGGCCGCTGGCGCGTCAGCACCACCATGTACCCGTGCACCAGGTTCAGCGCAGATTCCTTGCGTGCCGAATCTGGAATAGGACAGATCTTTAACTCGGTACAGAGCCTTTGTAAAGTGTTTGGTACGGAGCGCGTGTATAATATATCTTTAATACCTACTTGCTTTATTTTTTAGTTAAATGCCGAATGCGACTCACCAATATTGTTCATAACTCTAGGCAGACTCGTTACAGTCGCAAAGAAATTTTCACACAGCGCGTCCAGCATCTTAGATTTGTTATCGTCAGAGGTTTTGGTAAAGTATGTGTTGATTGCGTTCGTGCAGAACTCGGCCACCTCGAGATACTCGTCTTTGCTCAGGGAAATGAGAGCGTCTATTGCTAGGGGCACTGATGTGTGCATCGCACTAAAAAACCAAAGTCGTACGTTATTGAATTATGTCTAATCTAAAATTGATCAGAGTGACTAATCTATTGGTCTAGATAATAATAATAATATTCTACCACATTAACACAACGCCATCTAGTCCCAAACTAAGCAAAGCTTGTACTATGACTACTAGACAACTGATATGGATAAATACATACTTTTTTTTGTAAATACATACTTATTATACATAGATTAAAGTCTTCTACAGTTATATATGATATGAACAAAACATTAATGGAATACTCACATGTTACACTCAAACAGAAGCCTAGAACAGTACACAGCCAATTCTTTTCTCACTTTGAAGTGTTCATGTGTCCTCAAAGAAACCAAGCTTTTTGTAATCAGTAGTAACTTTTCACCAGCAACGGCGAACCACTCTGGACTTCTAGCAGGCAACGTCTTTGGATCGATCGGCTCTAAAAAAAGAACTATCATTTCAAAAACTAATTCGTTCTATGTAATTTTGTAAATATTTCAAAAAATAGAAAACCAAAATGGAAGAATTGTTTGTAGAACAATCATGCAAACAAAAACTTTGATAATTATATTCTCTAAAATTACTAATTACCCTTACTGCTTACTTCTCTGTTCTCCTTCTCTTTGATCATTTTGGCAAAATCTGACACTTTGATATCAGTATTTGTCGTCATGAATTTATTGTTCATTGCCAGACATAATATTCGATGCATTGCATCTATGGACGTCTACGAAAAAAGAAAAATTTCTTTAAATTGGAAGTTTACCCCTGATTTACCTTAGACTGCGTTTTTCGACTGTTGCGTAGCCTACAGCACTTTCTGTAGCCTAAACGGATGAGGAAGAGATGTCGTTAAAATCGTCTTAATGGTGAATGTAATATATCAAATTCACAAAATTAAAATGGCGGCTTTTGGCGCCATTTAATGTCTCCAATTCGTTTTTTCTTCAAACTTATCAAGTGGGGTATCAAAATTAAGAATTTCATAAATGTCTTACAAGAAATGTATACAAGTTATAAATGTAATTTGGAACTAGAAATGCTAGCAAATATACAAAATGTTTATAGTTAACAAGCAATCATACACTCTGGCTTTTGGTGTTTTTTTTTTTTTAATTTGTTTCTTACAACAGATTCTAAAATCATGTGTTCTGCGGTTATCAATGCAGTCTTGTCGTAACATTGTACCACTTGTCGGTACTTCGGCATGTTGTGAGTGCAATCAATGCAACTTTAAATCTCTGCTGGTTTGAATACCATTTCATGGAGTGTTTGGCACTTCACTATAATCTTTATTTTCCTTTTAAAAATCAGTGAAATAACACCTTATAAGGACTGGATTCCAGGAGTTTTGCAGTAAAGTGAACTTATATAGCACTAAACATGTACAGAACAGTTTTGGATTGAGGATTGAAAACCGGAAAATTACTTCCTCACATACTGATAAAAAATATTGATACCTTTAAATAATCGTAAATAATGATGTATTAATGCAGTTGTCGAATTAATGGAATGGTCTTCAAAATATTCCAACCTTCCAGAATGTTGCATAATGTTTTATAAGTTTCCAGAATGGCGACGAGGCCCTCTGGAGTACTACGAATTTTTATTTTATAAATTAACCAACTATGAAATAAGCCCGCACTATAAATACTCACCGTGATTTCATGTGGAGCATTTCTGATTCTTCAATACAGCGAGTAAACAAGTGCAAAGTATAGAGAACAGTAAAAGCGAATATGAGTGGGCATTGTTGTTAATTGCTAAATATTGTGTTTATTGTGATTCATTTAAATAAATTTGTAAAAAAACAGTAAATTGATCAGTATCACAGGACCCGTAGTGCACGACATGCTTAATAGTCCATTCGCGTGAAGAAAACAGATCAAGCCCCGCCCCTTGACCCCCGTTGGTTCCGCAAGAAGTGACCTTGAAGTCTTTGGACCGGGGGTCCATAGACCCCTCACGCCTTTTTTCTTAACGCGAATGGACTATAGTTTGAGTCCAAATATTATTACTTACAATTACGAGCAGATGTCCGGGGTTGTCATTGCAAGTGGCGACATCCTGCAGCGCGCCGAGCACGCCGGGCAGGATGAGCGACAGCATCTCCACCGCGCTCTTTTCTATCGCTGCGTTGGTTATGTGGTAGTGGCGAGTGAGGCGGGCGTGGGTCGCCGTGTGAGCTGTCACACACGTTATGGCGGCCAATCTGAACATATAAGATTACATTCCTTGACTGACAGATTCATCAACACAGACCATAAACGGCTCGGGCTACAAACTCGAAATTTAGGCAGATGATACTTTTTAAGTTTTTTTTGTTGTATATAAGTTCGTCATATTCAAAGTTAGAAACACAAGATAATAAATAATCACGGGAGCGAAGCCGCGGGCAATAGCTAGTCTATCATATTGAACATGAACCATAAAAATTAAATATAACAAAGAGATTATTTAATTGTGAAATGTTAATGGATCCGTCATCCGTATGGTGACGGATTAAAAATACTTTAATCCGTCACCACACGGAGTTTCACCACCCCTATTCATCCCGTGGATGTCGTAAGAGCCGACTTAGGGAGTAAACTACGCAGGACAACAGCAATGCAAAGAGAAGGAAAACTTGAAACAAACCCTTTTTTTTTTTTTTTTTTTTTTAACGTGTGGAAATCCCCTCGGACCGTCACCCCTCCGGGGTTTGCGGCGGGGTGGTGTGTCGGACTCGGACCGACTAAAACCACACGGTGTGCCACTCTGCGCCTGTAACAGGAGGGATCCGGGAACAGCTGTTGTTAAGACATCCGGACCCCTCCTAGCGCCAGCCCGCTCCTGGTGCGGGCTCCGTCTCATTGTTGATGTTCCTCTCTTTAGGCGACGTCCGGCACACGCGGACGCCGCCCCCTCGCGGCTGGCCAACTAATGCGGGTGGAGGGGAAACCCACCCCGTCCACCCGCGGCCACACTCAGGGCGGCATGAGGCTGTGATAGGCGGGCCTCCGCCGCCCGGTTCGCCGGCGGCGGATCGGGTCCGAGTGGAGGTCGTCCTCCCGGGCCCTCTCCGCCGCCTCCTTCCGCGAGATTACTACCTCGCAGAAGGTTGCGACCGCGGTAAAACAACTGTCGCTACCGGCCATGGAGCGTACTACGGCCGGTAGCGAGAGATCCACTCCGATGACTGCAGTGAGGGCCCGGCGCTGCGCCGCCCATGCGGGGCAGACCGCCAGCGTGTGCTGGGCCGAGTCCTCACTGCAGTCGCAGTGGTGGCAGGCGGGACTCAGTTCCCTCCTAGCGACCGTGTGCAGGTAGTTTCCGAAGCAACCGTGCCCGGAAAGCACCTGCGTCAGCCGGAAGGAAAGGGTCCCGTGCTGCCGCCCTGCCCACTCGGCGATGACCGGCTGGAGAGCCTCCACGGCGGCGAAGCCAGCGCGTGGAGTCTCCAGCCGGAACGACCAACGAGCCATCGTGGCTCGGCGAGCGGCTTCGCGCCACTCGCGCACATCCTCGGGCGGAGGGCGAAATCCGCTCTCCGCCCGGAAGTCAGCCACTCGCCGATAAACTTCGGCGAGCACTTCCGCCTCCAAATCCCACGGGGGAGTTCCGGCCAACGCGCATGCGACCTCCGTCGACACGGTGCGGTAACCGCGTATGGCTCTGACCGCCATTACCCTCTGAGGGCGCCAGAGGCGTACCCTATTCTGGGCGGTCAGAGCCGTCGCCCACACCGGTGCACCGTACAGTGCCATTGACCGGACAACCCCCGTGTACAGCCGTCTTGTCGCGACGCTGGGTCCACCCATATTGGGCAAAAGTCGCCCTAGGGCAGACGCAGCGCCGACCAGCTTTGGAGCAAGCTGTCGGAAGTGCTCGTCGAAGAGCCACCTCCCGTCGAGGATCAGGCCCAGATATTTCATCTGGGCCCGAACCGGTACGAGGACCGAGTTGACCACGATTGAGGCGCCAGGGGGTGGACCACGACGGGGCCCATGAAATAACAGGGCCTCCGTCTTATCTAGGGCCACCCGTAAGCCCAGCGCCTCAATGCGCCCGACCACCAGGGAGACTCCCCCTGTGGCCAGGCGCGCCGCCTCTTGGAAGTTTGCCCCCCGGGCTGTAACCAGTGTATCGTCTGCGTAACAGATTACACCCAGCCCGGGGGGGAAATCGGCGCGAAGGGCCCAGTCGTACCCTATGTTCCACAAGAGGGGTCCAAGAACAGACCCCTGTGGAACACCGCACGACATGGGCCGACACCTCAAATTACCTTCTCGGTCCTCGTACACGACGGTACGCTCCTCTAAATAGTCTGCCACTAGCCGCCTCAGGTACTTTGGCACCCCATGATAGTGGAGTGCTTCCCTGATGCAGCTGAATGGCAGACTATTGAATGCGTTGGCGATGTCTAATGACACCGCCAACAGCACGCCGCCACAGCTCACGGCCTCTTCGGTCACGGCCCTCAGGCGCAACACGGCGTCGACTGTCGAACGCCCCGCCCGAAAACCAAATTGGGCGTCCGACAGATCGGGGCCCACCTCGCAGAGGTGCCGGACGATGCGGGCAGAAAGAACCCTCTCAAACAATTTGCCCGCCTCGTCCAGCAGCACGATGGGCCTATAGGCCGCGACCGAATCGGCAGGCCGTCCCGGCTTCCTCAATAGGACCAGCTTCCCGCTCTTCCAGCACTCAGGGAAGCGTCCCGACGCCAAGCTAGCGTCGAACACCTCCCCGAGGCGGTCTGCCATGTGGTTGAGGGCCAGGGCCAGCACTCGGGCCGGTACCCCGTCTGGCCCAGGGGCGGTGTTCTTGGAACGGATCCGTAGAACAGCCGCCCCTACCTCCGAATCCCGGACGGGCGGAACATTGTTCTCCCCGTGCTCCCCGTCGTCTCCGGCCAGGGAGGCCATCGACGGGGGAGTGTGTCCCGCTCGTTGTGGGAAAAGGCCCTCAACTACTTCTCGCAGGAAGCTGGGCTGGAGAGTCTCCGTAAGGGGGGGGCCCGACGCGCGGAGCTTTTGTCGCACCGCGAGGTAAGGGCGACCCCAGGGGTCACGATTAAGACCCTCCAGCATCTCCTGTCTCTTTTCCTCTTTGGCGCGGCTAATGGCCAGCTTCAGAGTTTTCCGCGCCCATCGGTACTCCTCATGAAGCCGGTCCTCCTCACCGTCTCCACGGTGACGCCGCCGACTGCGTGTGTAGGACCTCCGGGCACGTGTACAGGCCGCACGGAGGTCCGCCAGCTCCTGGGACCACCAGTAGACCTCCTTTCTTGGAGGCCGACGACCTCGAATGCGGGGCATGGCCGCATCGCATACATGCGTATTCGCATCGCGAAAGCGACCAGCCCCCACGTCGACCTCCTCGGTCGGAGCCTGAGGAGACAGCCACGAGTGAATTATGGCTGCCTCCTCTAGTAGGTCCCGGTTCAGCCTGGCAACAGCCCACCGCGGAAAGCGGGATAAACGCCGCGCCACGTGACCCCTACTGGAGTCCTGGGTCCGGGAGAGCTCAAATCGGATATACAGGTGATCCGAGAGCGTCTCAACCTCTTCCAGGACACGCCAGTTCCTTACTCGTGCGGCGAGGGCAGGGGTAGCGAACGAGAGGTCCACTATCGACCCCCCCTGCTGTCGCACGCACGTGTTGGTGGAGCCTCTGTTGAGAAGACAGAGGCCGACCGAGGCCGCTCACTCCTCTACGGCCTCGCCCCTTGCGTCCGTCCTGGGGGAACCCCACGCAATGGACTTTGCGTTGAAGTCCCCCAGCACAAGGACGTGCCCAGACGCTAGTCGCCGTATCGAGGTCTCCAAGCTGGTTAGGAAAACCTCGAAGTCGTTCAAACTCCGGTTGGGGGAGAAATAAACACCATATATGGTGATCCCCCCCCTCTCGACGGCAACATATCCAGTGCCCTTGTCTCTTAGCGACAAGGGCGGGGAATGAGCCGTCGTGGAACCGACGACTGCCACGGAGCCGTCCCAGTCACCCATCCAGTTTGGACGGGGAGGGACAGAATAGGGCTCCGCGACTACGGCAACACCTATCGACCACTGTGCCATGGTTTGCAGGAAGAGATCCTGCGCCGCGGCACAGTGGTTCAGGTTCGTCTGGACCAGGAGGTTGGAGACTTGATCCATTACTGGATCGTCTCTACAACCTCCTCCATGGGCGACGACGTCGACGCAATATTGACGTCGGGGGTAGCCTGGGTCGACTGGCTAGCCCCTGACGTCTGCCGAGAACTGCGGGGAGGCTTGCAGCCTCTCTGCCCCATCTGGTGATTGGCGGGCTTATTGCCCGCCGCACACACTGGGCAGTGAGGGGCGGCAGAGCATTCTGCCGCCTTATGCCCCGGTTGACCGCAGCGGAAACACAGTCCGCCGCAGTCAAAACAGCTGTCGCACTTGACGCGCGTGTGTCCCGATGCTAGGCATTTGTAGCACCTCATCGGTCTCGCCGCCAGGACTGTGATCCTGGCGCTCACGAAACCGACGAGCAGCCTGCCGGCGTCGGCCAATACTTTGGCCGACGCTACGGGACAGCTGACCCACACGGCGCCAAGCCCTCCTGGACCGGGGCGGATGGTGCCGACCCTGACGTTGTCCGCGCTGCACCCCGTCTTCTCCCGGATTACAGCGCGGACATCTTCGGCCGTTACGGAGTCGTCCAGGCCCGAGATGCGCAGCTCTGCGCACTTAGTAGGCCTGGCGATCTTTACACCATCCGTGGCTGTAAAGAGTCCCCGCAGCTTCTCGGCAAATGTGTCCGCCGTCTTAGCGCCTTCAGCCCCAGGGAACTCGAGGACTCGAGCTCCCGTCTGGGCGAGGCGCATCCTGACCCCCACCGTCCCAAAGTCGTTGGCGAGGCTGTCCCGGGCCTTTTTAAAAACGGCCGCGTAGGACAGCCCGCCCTCAGCCGCCTCCGGGGACACGGTCACAACTACAGCCGCGGTTTTGGGCGGCTGCAGCTTCCGCGGCCTCTTTGCAGAGGCCGTTGCCACCGGTGGCGAAGGCTGGGCTTGGGCTGCTTTTTGGGCAGCCCTTCTGGCCCGCCTTCGGGACTTCTTGGAGCCCCTCGCCTCCTGCCAGCCCTCGTTGGAGGGGGCAGGTGCGGAGGGGCCCGGCAGGGGTGTCGGAGTGGGGAGCGGAGGGAATGCCACTCCGCCCGTTTTAGGCCCCGTCTTGGCCGGCGCCTGGAGATGTGCCTTGGCCGGCGCCTTAGCCGGTGCCTTGGCCGGCGCCTTAGCCGGTGCCTTGGCCGGCGCCTTAGCCGGTGCCTTGGCCGGCGCCTGGGCCGGTGCCTTGGCCCCCCTCCTCGGCTTTTGTGGAGCCGATGGAGTAGGGGCAGACGCCGCCGCCGCGTAAGAAACGCGGCCTCCCACAACGGGGAGCGCGGTCGGAGCGGCGGCCTTAGGCCGCTGTGCCGACGCGAGCGGGGGGCGCATAATCGGCGCAGGGGGCAGTCTCGCCTCCAGGCCAGCCAGGCGTCCGTCCAGCATATTCCCAACTGCGATGAGGATTTCTCGCAGTTGGGAGTCACTGAGCGCTCAGCTCGTTCACCCGCTCCGTCAGCTTCTCGTTGCCCACCTGTAGGCGCGATACGTCGCCCACTAGGCCCTCCACGACCTCCGACAAAGCGGAGGAGGAGTCCTTAAGGGCCCTCACAAACGAACCCTTAAGGTTCACGGACTTGGTGGCCACCTTGTGAATGACGGCCACCGCCGCTTTCGCTCTCTCCTGCACGGACACGGGAGCCTGGGGGGCATTTCCCCCCACCGGCTCCCGAACCTTGAGCAGGAAATCCGCGATCTCCTCCTCCGCTACGGCCTCGCCGTCCACCCGTACGTTCCTGTACGACTCCGCGTTTGAGAACGCGGAGCCTGACGGGGTCGAGACCGAGGCCGAGGCCGGTTTACGTTGCCTCCCTCGGCGGCTGCTTGCCACCTTTGGTGGCATCATTTCTTGGGACGTATCCGTTTCCTCGTCCCTGGAGCGTCCGCGTTTCCGGCTGTCGCTTCGCTCCGCCTCCATGGCGTCAGCGCCATCCGACGAAACGGCGGATCCGGAACGCAGCCGATCTGATGCTCTTCGGCTCCCAGAGACCAGCGTCAGACTGACCTCTGGGAGCCCCACCGAGATAGGCGTTCCCGACGCTATCTCACCCTCCGTGGATGACCCATCCACTCCACTTTTCCTCTTCTCCTTCGATTCAGAGTCCGTTTTGCTTGCCTGTTTCTGTTTTTGTGTTTGTTGCCGTTTCTGTATGTTTTTATTGATATGCTCCATAATAAATCCCACGAGTGGGGGAGAACTAAAGGTCCACCCGGGCAGAGATCCCCCATTACCCGGGCAAGCGTAAGTTTTTAACCCAACCGAGGGGTCCGCAGGTACCTCGGCTTGGAGTGCGCTCGCGACTGAACTTCCCATCAGCCATGCATCCCCTGGCCACGCACCAGAACACGGGATTCGGGGAATTTTTTAGAGAGGTTATCTTCCTCGCGGTCCGGGCGGTTAAGCCAAGACCCTCGCCCCCGATCAGAGCCGCGAGACTTAACCACAGCGCTCTTCTCGGGATTACGATATGCCGACGGTTGACAGGGAGACTACGTCCCCCTGCCTGCTCGGTGGTAGTGTGAGTACACGCCGAGCCCGTCCTCCTTTCTCCACCGCTGTCAGCGGAGAAACTGTGGCCCCTACAGGGCCCCGCCATCAGGTTTTTTACCGAGGTTTCCTCCTCCATGCTCCGAAGAGCGAAGAGCCAGCAGGGCAACCGGCAGACATGCCCACCCTGCTGGACCAGGCCTTGCCCGAGAGCCGATGAACGGCTACCTCTTCTGCTAGAATATTGGCCGCTGGCGATAATCCTCTCCTCCAAGAGGACAAGGAGGAAACAGTACCATCGCCAGCGTTTCCAGGGTGCACCACGAAAACCCTATACCAACCCGTCTGCCCAGACGGTGTAGTAGGCCAAAACCTCCTTCCTAAGGAGAGGCCTATGTACAGCAGTAGAATAGTAAATGCTAAACGATGAATGTTAATGCCTCATTACGGCAATTTAGTGAAGAGTCTAATGTTGAACAGTACATTTCTCCTTGATATAAAAATTGTTCAGGTATACTTATCGTATTTGACACTGATTATAAGTTTCTTTACTCTACAACTTTACTCCATAAAATAAGCCCAGAATTTGAAACTACCGATTATTTTATATATGCAGTGTTACATTTTGCCGTTATTTTGGTTTAAACAAAATATGGTCATACTATTTTGTAACATACTGTATTGCTGTTATTTTGGTTTAAACAAAATATGATCATACTATTTTGTAACATACTGCATTGCTGTTATTTTGGTTTAAACAAAATATGGTCATACTATTTTGTAAGATACTGTATTGCTGTTATTTTGGTTTAAACAAAATATGATCATCGTATTTTGTAACATACTGTATTGCTGTTATTTTGGTGTAAACAAAATGTGATCATACTATTTTGTAACACACTGTATAGTGAAAATGTTTCTTAACTACTCATATGTGACATGTTCAAGAGAGTCCTTTATATTTATGTCTGTCAGTCAACTGTTAATTTGACATTTGGCTTCAGAATGAAAAACTAGTTTGAACAAAAAATAATAGAACAATGTACCTTAATGACTTAAGTTTTTCCATTTTGGCTAGATGCACAGCTACATAAACCGTCTTCCCCAACAAGGGCACATGTGACTTCAACATGGCCTCCCTGTATTTAGGTTCTATATTTAGCAGCAGAAGTGTTAGAGTTTTCATCACACTCAACTTTAGTTCCTCTGAGATCTCAGCAACTGAAAATCAATTACAATTTACAATATATATATTTTTTTAAAACTGTGTTGTGATGAAAAAAGAAAAAGATCACAATAAATATTAAAATAAAATTGAGTCATAGCAGGATGAATGAATTCTGAAATTATTTTTTAGAAATAATGAGTATAAAAGGATTATTTATGAAAAGAAATAATAAATATAACATAATTAAAAATTTATATGCGTATGGCGACGCCTCGTAACACATGTTATTGGAGTGGAGCTCTTAACATGTTACATATACTATCGCATAGAGTGGCGACGCGCCGCTTCGCAAACAGCCCGTCTCCCTCCGCATTAGATTTCTCACATCAATTATTTCTGCGAGTGATAAACTTAATTATAGAAAATATGTGTTTCTGGATTGTCTAAATAGTTTCAGACCTGAAATAAATTTTACTAACTTTAAAAACGGACAAGACTGCTCTTCACTTTAACAAGTGCATCATGCAATATGCAGTCGCCAATTTTTTTTTTTGTATATAACCCCAAATCTGTAGATTAGCCAGATGGTTCCCCAACAGCAGCCGCATACATGCATATGCACAAACTTCAGAACACAATGCAGAATGGTGAAAACATGCGTAATTGTAAATGGGAATAAACATTTAGAGCTAGTAGTAGTACTTATAGTTTAATCCCATGATATTATTTTTAAAATTTGCGTATTTAAATAGTTAGATAAATAGAGGTGTATTGTAACATATAAACATAACAAAGAGTTAACATACACTACTATGTAACAAATATTGTAATTATCAACAACTGGTTTAAACTGTTGACCTAATTTGATATTTAATCACTGTCCAGCAAGATACATTATTACGTATCTAGACCTAGATACATATGCTATCCTTCTGTGAGAGTAAGTAAGGTCTTTTTGGAGTAAGTCACCGGTTGCCAGCATTTAGCAATGTCAAAATAACATTTTATAAGTAGACATATACATAAGAGCAAGAACAGGTGTGACAGATATTCTAACTAAGATAGACCAAATGGAAGCGATTCAGCTCCATCTTCCTCAGGGTAGATGGAGCTGAATCGTTCAATCGGAAAACGAAGTAGAGGTCGAACAGAAAACAGACAGAAATTTGCAACTGGATAAGATAGAAAACATTTTTATAATTATTATATTATATAACATTATTATAAAAAGTTATAACAGAAACATAAAAAAATGGTATGATATAGGAAATGAACAGTTTATAAGACCATGTACTAAAAATAGAAATAGTAAGATTTCTTGTTGCTGAGTATAATAACCATAGTCCGTAATTTTTCCGTAAACCATAAATACTATATAGTTTTCCAAGGCACAGGTAACATCAGATGGACAGCCATGCTTTAGCACATTTGGTATGGCTTGACCAGAGTGATACCACAGACCCACAGAAAACAGTATCAAATTCTTTCATTACATTTCACTAAGGGTCCTCCCTTTCCTACACTCTCCTCACTTAGTGAAAAGTTTACATTGACTGTGAGGGGCAAAGGGGGGTTCAGTAGCTTACCAGCATTTATTTGCTCATTTGAGTGTGACACAAGTAAGACACAACCCCTTCAGTGTTCTTATTCTGTAGGAAATGGTGAACAATGTCTACACAAGCATTCACTAGTTTTCAAGAACAGTTTTAGAAAATGTATAAACTTACTCATCCCTGGTTTTGTGTGGTCGAACACCAACTGTAATAGGCCAACCTCCATTTTCATGCACATCTCAAAGCTGTTCACAGTCACCTTATCTAATACTATTCCCATCGCATCCACAACACGGCTTTGGAGGTCATTTTTCTTACTAAAATTTTCAAAATAATAAATTAAATTAATACATGGAATACAACAATGGTGACTTTTGTTCTATGGGTGATTCTCTATTGTTTATCTTAGTTCTATTCAGTCAAGTCTCAATTCAGTTCCGATCAATCTCACAACTGTCATAAAAGGTATTTTTGTAGTAAATTATTAAACATCTAAAGTTGACTGTAATGTGATTATATTGTAATATAATTGAATTTTGAATCAGTACTCTGCTAACCTTAGTAATAATTTAATATTTTACTTTTTTCGAAAATACCTTCAATGACAGTTATGTGATTGAAAGTTGATCGGAACTGAATTGAGACAGTACTTTTATTATGAGATTTGGCCTTCTGCACACAAAGTTGTGTGTTTCTCAAAAGGAACAAGTTCTCTCTGGTCTTAACATCATGTTATAAGTCTTCTTCGATAAATGGGCTATATTTTTAAGCTGAAGTGTTTGTTTGGTTGAACATACTTATCTCAGGAACTACTTAGTCAGTACTCAGTAGTTAGAACTGGTTCGAATTGAAAAACTATTTAAATGTTGGACATTTAAATAGTTTTTCAATTCGAACCAGTAGTTCCTGAGATAAGTATGTTCAACCAAACAAACACTTCAGCTTAAAAATATTACTATAGACTTGATGTAGTTATTTTCCTTTATCATGTTATGCACAATGTGTACAGTGGTAGACATAATTATGGAAGCATTTTCTGCCACCTTAGAGTGAGAGCAGGTCCATTAAACACCAAACTATATCTTAACTAGGAATATAAAGGTGCTGTAGCACTAGAATATAGAATGCGGCGGTCGACGCCCATTGAAACATAAACCTCATATAGCTTGACGGCCTGTTGGTCTAGTGGTTAGTGACCCTGACTGCTAAACCAGAGTGAAAGGGAATCATACCCACAACAGGTTTGATTCCCACCCAGGATAAATATTGTGTGATGAGCACGGTCATTTGTTCTGTGTCTGGGTGTAATTTATCTATAATATGTATCTATGTAAAAATATATGAGTATGTTTATCAGCAGTCTGGTTACCATAATACAGGCTCTTTGGGATGAGACGGCAATGTGAGAGATGTGTGAGATATATTATTATTATTATAGCTCTCTATGTATTAGAGACAGAAAATAACAATGGATTTAAATAATATCTTACTCAGTTTGACTTGATTTCAAGTGAGTGATGAGTGGAAACAACAGATACTGTTGGAGTTCTTGAACCACTTTCTTCTTCAGGTCTGATACACGAGAAATGAAGGCGTCAATGCTTTCAGGCGATGGGCATACCATAATAACATCGCAAATAGGTTTAATACGAGAAAAAGCCTCCTTGAGATCAGCGTTCATTTTTGCACATTTGTAATGTTCTTAACAACTAATGAAAATGTTTCCTTATGTCTTTAATTTAGAAAATTTTATAAATAGAATAAAAAGATCATTAATTATTTTATATATTCTAATTGGATCTTTTCTTTTAGATATTAACAACAAAACAACTGTTGTTGTAATTTGACATGACTCGTTTCGTCTCAACTTCTCTACCCTATTTTACTATTTTACCACAAACAGTGTTGCTACTTTTTATATATAGTTTGCCACATACGTACAAATCCACATCGGAAATCATTAAAAATAGTCATTGAAAAAAGATATCTTAACTAAGGCAAAAAATTAACCCCTCATATTCCCGAGCCAACCACAAAGCTCGACTAGAAAGAGATAGAGGGGACTATCTATTATCCATCTCTCTCGGTTCCTATACTGCAAGGTTGGCTGGTTAATCTTGTGTTCTCTAGGTTATATCTCTATGATCCAGACCTTTAAATTGTATTTTTTTTTTATAAAACATTTTTTAAACTGCTAAAACATGAACGTAACACTTTTAGGAACATGATAAGAGTAATTATTTTAATGTAATTGTATAGCAGAGTATAAATAATAAGTATTGGAAAATAACAAACACCTTCTACTGCTGAGAAGTACCTTTACATAAATACATACTTTAAATTGTTTGATAACTTATACCACGGTACTATTATAATACAGTACTGCAACTTCATACAAACGGACGAAACGGGAGCTATGCCTACGCGCCTCGATCTCGGGGTGCGCTCGGGGCGCAGACAGTCACGGCTGTACCGCAGTGTCGAACGGACTGCGTGTTGTTTTTTTAACAATAACAGCGCGATTTTTTCTCTAAAAATCAGTTAATATGACGAGTAGGAAATATTGTGCTGTTTTTGGTTGTATGAATTCGTAATAATTCGTAATAATGGATAAGTATTTCGTTTTATCTCACGAAAAAAAAGGTGTTTGGATGAATAAATAAAGCAAATAGAGTAACGGAAAGTTATTGAGACGAGTGAAATAGGGAGTTACATGCGGTTCTGAATGAACCATGATACGGTAGGTACCTACCTACTTACGCTTGTGTTAAAACTTCGGTGCATGTTTGTTTTGTTACTTTGCATAATTCAAAAAAAAGAAAATTCTACTTAAAGACGTGGTATTTTATTATTAATAATATATCTTTATTATCTGTGTGTATGAATAATACTAAAAAAAATTTGTTACCGTCTGTGTGTCATTAGACAGTTTTCGAAATTTTCACAAAGTGTTTCTGCTGCTACTATAACAACATATACCACTAAAAACTGGTTTTATTTTCTCGGTATTAACAACAACAGCTAGACTCATATATAATATTTAGATGTTTGAGGGTTGTGATTTTAAAACATTCGTAGTCAGCTGTTCAGCTTTTTAATAATTAATTAATTGGTGACCAAAGAATTTTTGTTTTGAGTTGTTGCGAGTTGTAGGTTATAAATAAGTTACTTACTCGTCAGCTGTTTCTTGCATTCTAGTTGAGTAGGTAGGTGTTGGAGTTTCTAAGGATTGGAGTTTTGTAACGCGTATGGAGAAAGCACATTTATTTTATTTTATAGAAGGATTTTTTTTGGTCGCTAATTTATAAGCCCGATTGGTTTTTCAAACAAAAAAATGTTTTTTAATTAAATCTACCAATCAAAAAACAACACGCATTTTTATTGAACAATTCCTATTCAATATACAAAGTATTTCATTTATTTATATAAAAAGGATATTTACAATCACAAATCAAATAGAAACAGAAAGTAGGCAAATATAATTAAAATGCTGGAGACGGGCAGCCCTAACGCATGTTTAAGTACCGCGCGGCTGTAGGCATTTATTTCTATCATGCGGCCGAGTTACAATACTGTATTATAATTGTACCGTGCTTATACACAAACATATTTTGATAAGTGTTTGGTCTGTATCTATGAAGTTGAAAATTTAAAAATATTTAAGGTTTTTTTTTTAATTTTTGCTAATCAAATTCGTGACTGTTGTTGCCTACGACACCTCAGTGGTTGTATAAATGAATAATAGTGGACTGTATTTAAAGCTGTATAATGACTTATGGTTGATAACAATGTTTCAAGTACACGATTAAAGGACAAGATGTGTGCGGCCGTGTGGTATCGTGTCTGTAACTGATTGTTTGTCTGTCCCGGCCAGCGACTGGAGCGGGGCAGCGGTGTAAACGGCGGGGTCGCTCACGAAGAAAGTCGATTAGCCCCGATCAGCTGTGGATGCGATCGGCAGATGTCAAGTACTAGACATATCTCCCCCCTTGAAGTATCTCTAGTATGTCATCATTCCGTAGAAGTCCATTGTACGCTATGCGATGAAGTCAGTCAAAGCGTTTTGTACTGCCTCTCTGGTGTTGAATTTTTTTCAGACTTAAAAAAGTGTCTAAAGAAAAAAGTAGAAATCTGTTGGGGTAAGGTCCGGTGAAGTACAGTGGGCTTCTAGCTGTAACTCTTGTAGCTCTGAGATAGTCTGTCGCGTTGTTAAAGAGCCTTTGACCAGTCATGGTTGTTGAATTGCGAGTCGTTTAGTTCGTGTATAACCCATTTATCCACTTTTTTATTTTTCCGATTTGACGCCAATGCTTTAATGTTGTTTTGACATTAACTCCAAAGCCCGCAGCAAGCTTACCCATAGATTGAGTTGGATCCACTTCCACTATCGCCTTCGATTTGTCATTGTCGACTATAGTTTTTGACTGCACGGATGGCGTAGTGGTTTAAGCGGTCGCCACGCCGCTTCCTACTACGCCGAGTGTTGTGGGTTCAAACCCCACATGGGACGACACTTTGTGTGATCCACAAATTGTTGTTCTGAGTCTGGGTGTCCTTTGTGTCCGTTTCATGTATGTTTGTAAAGTCCCCCGCGACACAGGATTTATTCCTAATGCGGGCGTTGTCTTTTTAAAAAAAAGAAAAGAATGAAAGAAAAAAGTTACCGGCGGACCGTGGGGTTCGTTCTTCAACTCAAAATTTCCAGATCTAAAACGATTGAACCAATTATGAACCGTGTTTATGCAAGCAGTGCAGGCCCGTACATACCGTTAATGTTTCGCGTTGTTTACACAGTGGTGTTTCCTGTATGAACTCAAATTCGAATATTGTTCGAATTTTCAGCTTAGACTTTTTAGACAGTTTAGACTACCACAATTTCAGGAAAACAAAACACTATCTAAAACAAATTACTGAATTTTCAAATTCAAAAAAGATGGCTTTCGAGTACTAATAATTAAATCTGAAAATGCCGATTTTATAAATCTCTTTTCTTAGTTTAAGGAGGGATGCTTAAATATAATATACTAACTTTGTTTCCAAAGTCATAGTTGCGGGTGCTGGGCAGTAGTTCACTAAATAAGCATTAAGTTTAGGCCGTTGAGTAACAGAAACGATCAAGCCACACATTTTGACTAAAATATAGGGTTTGTAGAGAACTTAAGACTAAAATTCAGGCAGAACGCTATAATTACGCTATGATGAGAGTTAGAGAGTGTTTTGGTAGGACGTGTAGAACTTGGCCCTCCATAAGATCCAAAAATCATTAGAGTGCAAGCAATATATACCTACTCATCTTAGCGTTACTTTATATAAAATGTTTTTGGTGGGTAATTATTACTGTAAGTTACACACCCGTCGCAGCTTGTTTATTGTGTTAATTTTCTTTTTTTAGGTTGTATTTCTTACACATAAGCAGTGTATTTTTTCATAGCCCAGTCTCTGTCTTTCCCTGTTTTGTTTAAGGTCTTATTGGTTACAGTGCAAGTGCAAGCTGTTAATTTGTAATGTACCATTTTTTTTTATTTCTAGTGTTTAAATTTTTATGGGGGCAAAATGTACAGAATTCTTAAATACTATGTTATCTGTGTGTTAATCTAGATTTCACACCAGTTTACGCACTATTGCGATCTCTGATTATAATCCAAGTAATTTAGGGGCTAACTTTTATAATATAATCTGTCATCCTTCTTAGTAAAATCTTTAGAATCGTCTTGATTGACTGTTGTTTATAATGTTAATGTTTAAAGAGGTGTGTCGGGCATCGGGTAAGTTAAATGCAAAATATAGTAAATAAACGTAATTACACTCAATTAATGTTGCTAGCCGGGTGGCATAAAATCACCGCTTAGAAGTTGTTTTACTGCATAGGTAGCTAAGTGTACAGGATCATTTTTAAACATCGGTTTCATTTTTAGAGTAAGGTGGAGTTCGAAACCTAACATGTTAAAAAAATTAAGTAACTATTTCAAATCAGACTTAAATACTGGAAATTCGAAGATTTCGAAGATTTACATGTTGGTTGTGCAACAAAACGTTGTAATTTAAAAGAAGAATTGTCAAAGTCAGGTGTTAATAGGTATCTGTCAAAGTGTCAAACTGTATGGAAACGAGAATGCAATTAAATAATTGAATTAAACATATAAGTATTATGTTTTCATGAACATTTAGTGCGAAAAATATTGCAATATGTTTACTTTACCGGGACAGCGGGTCTTACATAAGTGCCTTAAGATTTTAAGGTTAACTGTTGTGGATTTTAGCAGTTATCCCGACATAAAGAAGTTGAATCCGGTTAGGACCGTCGAAAAGATAATTGAAAACAACACGAGCATCTTCGTCGAGAGCCCGATCCATGTAAAAATGTTACCGATCGACGTGAACGACACCAAGGCTCACAACAAGCTGACAATGACATTATACAGTCAAGGTACGAAAACTATAGATTTCCAAGTAAAGCAGACGTCTAAATGCTTGGAACTACTGAATAAGAACACCGCTTCAGATAGGAACGATATCTGCGTGATACAGGTGCCGTATCAACTGAAAGTGGAGGTGACAACAACTGACAGTGCCTCAGTGAGCTTGTCTCAACTGGAAGGCCAGGAGTTTATTGTAAAAACACAAAAAGGAGCTATCCACGTCAATAACTTGAAAGCAGATAATATCTCACTGGAAAGCACAGAGGGAGACCTCAAATGTGATGGTCGCTTGCAAGCAAGACACATAGAATTAAAGACTGGCTCTCAAAGTGGTATACAGTGCCACAATATAATGGCGAATATATTCAATGTAACAACACACGCTGGGCCCATTGTTGTTAAGTCTTGCTACAGTGACAAATCACACTTTACCACTTTGATGGGTAATATACACCTTGATCATCTTCATAGATCTGTCTTGATTGATGTTATCCAGCAGGGTAATCTTCACATTATGGGCTTTTCTGGTAACCTACAGGCTTCTTTGAAAAGTGGAGATGTTTTCATGCATGCTTCACAGCTCACAGAGAAAACCAGTATCTTTATACATGAAAAAGGAAAGGTGGAGTTAATAATGCCTGACTTAGTGAATAACTTGCCAGCTACAAATTTGATAGCTGATAAAATAACTGTTGATAATAAAATACTAAAGCTAGGAAGGTTTATGGATGATGCACATCCCAAGAGGTTCAGATTTGAGCGGGAACCGAACCATGAATTACACATAGTTTGTAAGAATGGCTCAATTGATTTGAAAGAGACAGACTTACCGTTTATAGTTTAGTTGTCTATGATGTTATACATGTACTTTAGGCAATATTTATGTTTGTATTTTATTATAACTAACATAACTTGTTATTAATAAAGTGTTTTTTTAAATGTGATGTTTAATTAATTTGTGATTGCACTTTCAAAATTGTATGTATTTAAACTTGTATATCTACTATAAACAGTACAATAGTTCTGCATAGATTGTCATATGTTGATAATTTATCTGTCATATTAAACCTAACTAGTATTTAAATTCTATATGCAGTGTTTACTTCAAGACTCTTATCATTGTTATGTCTTCCATGAACCATAAATAAATTACTAATTAGAATGCATAATTAATTCACAATTGTATTGATCATGTTCATAATTATTGTATTTTTAGAAACTATGTATTTTAGACTTAGGAAACACTTCAACTGCCAAAGTAATGTTTGTGAGTTTAATTGATACATTTTAAGTATTTACACATTCATTTCATGCATTTATTGTTAGTATTTTGTAATAAAGAACTATATAATTGCACTTTAAGGTACAGATGCATTTTATTAAATGATTTATTTTTGTAGTACCTCATTATGTAACTTGTGTGTATTTTTATTATCTTAAGTCAATCTTGCTAGTCTACATTCATTTATTCAATATTGTTATTGACTTAGTTTTCTCTTTAGGATTGTATAGTATGTGTAGGTAATAAATATTGTTATTTATTCAAGTAGTAAATTGTTGAAAGTTTCAATAAAAAACTATCTCATTTTATTTGAATGTATTATTTAATACTGACCTTTCACACTCTCAAAACATCTCTAGTAAATAACCTACAATATATAATCTAAGATTGTTTTGGATCTAATGATGTCCTAAGGCAGTATGTTTACTTTTTAACTAGGTAAGCGTTAATTGGGTACAAAGATGGTAATGTATGGCGGGCGCCGGCGCAGTGCTGATAACGAGTCTGTTTATATGCAGCGAGCGAACGCGCGCGCGCCAGTCCTGCTTACGCCGCCGACCGCGCCGCCAACATGCCGGCCTGCGCGCCTGAGTACAGCCGCCTTGCGCGATCCAATACCGAGCTTGTGTTCTCGCCCCAAGTTAAGCGATGCTCGCATCAGCCGCCGCCCTTCACTGCACTCCGTCGCTCGTTCTCCTCAACGTTTTCGCTGATACCTGAGGAGCGAGCCGTCTCACCGGAACGTCCACCGCCGCTGCCCCGTTTTATAAGGATAATCACATGGTTTCCCCGGCTTATGCTTCGGCCGCTATTCGCTATGCTAAATGTCATCGCCCATCCTGCCTGGAAACAAATTCTCGTCGTTCTCCCGACGTTGTGGATTGCCGCTTCGTTATTCATTTTCTGGAAGTGTGTACAGTACCCTATTGGAGTTCTTAAGATGATGGGCCGCGTGATCAGCTCCAAAAATCAGAATAAACCACGCACCGTGCTTATTAGTGGAGGCAGTTCAGTGCAAGCATTACATTTAGCAAGAAATTTCCATTCCGCAGGAGCAAGAGTAGTTGCATTTGAAATAGAAGGACAATTCGCACTTTTGAAGTACTCTGCGGCGGTGCACAGATTTTACACAGTGCCGCGACCTAATCCGGCCGATCCTTTGGCTTATGCGCGAGCCTTGAGAGAAATAGTGGACAGGGAGTCTGTAGTATTTTATGTCCCGGTGAGTTCTACGACACCGGCGTACTATGACGCTCTAGCGAAACCCCATTTGGAAGTGGTTGGATGTCAGTGCTTCGTGCCGTCCGCTCGTGACGTGGTTACACTCGACGACCCTCTGGAATTGATTCGAGTATGCCGGGCTGCCGGTTTATCAACGCCTCAGTTTTGGGTTGTTGCTAACGATGACGATGTTCGTGCGTGGTACGATAGTGGAGCTTCTAAAGAAGGCCGACACTTCATTGCTAGTGCAGGGGCACGTGGAGCAAGGGATCGTTTGCGTTTTGTTATGCCTGAAGACCGAAACCAATTTAGATTCCCTAGAGAAATTAGTGCGGAAAAACCGTGGGTGATTGTTAGAGAACCAAAAGGAGAAAGAATTGTGACATGTACTACATTGAAGGAGTCCCGGGCGGTCAACAATGTTACGTGTCGCGTAGATTCTACAAGGAAAGGACTGGTGCCTCAGAGGGACGACGAAGCAGATGCGTGGGTGCAAAGATTTGTATCTTTCTTGGCACCAGCAAGGCCTATGACGGGTCACGTATCATTCAGGCTCGTTCGTGAAGAACAACCTACGAATGGCCAGAATAACAAGCTAGTGGCTATTGGAGCTCGAGTAGGCGTGTCTCTACCATACTTGTGTCAAGGATCAACTCGATGTGGTCATACAGCAACAGTCGGAAAGTTGCTGGATACTGTTCTAGACACTCGCGAGGCCCTCTTCACATTTTGGGATCCATTGCCTTATTGCGCGTATTATCAATCTCGGATGCCAGACGAGAGGAGGCCACCGCCTCCGGAGCCATGCAAGACACCACCGAACGTTCCTCTTTGAAATGTTATGTAGTGGAAACGTAGGAATTATTTATTTTAGACACTCAAGTACCTGAAGAGTGCGTGAGTGGGAGCTCTCTTTGTTGCGAGTGGCTTAAAGTCACTCACTGCGTGTCGCTTGCTCGCCTCGCTTGTACAGCAAACGAGTGTTCGAGGGACGATACGACATGTTGTAACTACTAAGTAGATATTTTATTTTCTTTTGTAAATACAAAATATTATTATAAAGTATGTCTGCATATTGATAAGTTAAGAAATAAAACAAGGTCGACTATTTTTTTATGAACTATGTTATTTTCGTTTCATATATTCCTAGAAATGCTCATGTGCCTATCTTCTTCCATAACACTTTTATAAGTACCGATACTCTCTATATACCCAAAGCCTTACAATAGATAACGTGAAAAATAAACTTTTTTTATTCTGGTTGATGAGCAGGCATGTTTATCAAAAGTTATTTTTGAATGAGAGGAGAGGAGAAAAGTGTGATCTGTGGCCCAACGCCCCTGGTGACCCGGACGAGATAACTGCTATCTCTTCAAGTGCACTACAACTTATAATAATATACTTCTCACTATCTTGCTAACTGGACAAACACCAAGCAAGCACGGTGTGGATAGACATTTTTTATTTTTATTTTATTAAAATGACGGTTTTAAAGTTTGAAGCAGATATTTTGACTTTATTGTAATAACCCATTCTAACATCTTGAATGGTCTTCAGTAGCCATTAGGGTGACTACACTTTTATGGTAGTTTTCAAATTTTTATAGAACGTTAGAAACCTAAAGTAGGTATTTCTTGTGGAATAGTATCTGAAAGTTTCGTATTTTTCTTAGATTTTTCTTATTAACAATCTTAGGTTGACTTTTAACTATAAAAGTATGTGACAAAAGAATAACTAGCTCATCAGTAAAGTTCGTGTTTAATAATCTCGTGCTTAATGAACTCGCATCTTTGTATTAAAAAAAAAGAAATCTGTTCCAATTCCGTCGAGCCGTTCTATCCAATCGATTTGCCTTTAGTCAACGAAAGATTGGTGCATGGATGTGTTTTTAAGACTAAAAACCCCGTCACCTTTACCCTTCTGACGTAATACTCAAACGCGAGTTCTTCTTGTCTTAATTTTTGTAAGTCACTAGTTTAAGAATATTTAGTTTTTTATTTCGTTCAATGTTATTGCTTGAGTTCGAGGGAAGCTATTTAATTAGCATTGAATAACTTTCCTCCAGCCTTCGCTGAGAAGCAAGGGTCCTCTAGTATAGATCGCTTAATAATCACGAGTAGGTCTAGCAGTATAATCATGTTTTCTAATGCATAACTACTGTTATTGTGAACTCTTGACATTTTGTAGTAACAAACAACCAATCTTCGCAGTTATTTGTTGAATAGCACAAAACATATAACTATACTAATATCTTTTTTACTTACATAACATTTCATTAGTGGGCAAAAATAAGAAAAAGTAGTTTTTAGATTATTAAAATATGAGTTTACAACACTCTTAAGTAAAAAAAAAAAATTTTTCAACGGAAACTGTCAATACTTGTTAAAGACAGAGTTTAGAAGTAAGTTTCGAGTTTAGTAATGAAATATTAATTCAGAATCGCCAGATAGATAAATAGTTTATTTTTTTGTATTTTTGCAATCTGTTCTGCCAAGAACATTCGGCAAATTGTTATGAAGTTTAGATATTGTCCTGGAGGGCAACTGCCCTAAGCCCTGTCGCTGGACTAACTAGTCCAGCGACATATGCTCTGTATATTAATTAACTTGGTTGTGTTTGTTTATATTTGTCGATGTATGTGTATGTGGTTGAACGGTTACTATTTTCCCTACAGATCTCTCCTTCTTTTCAATCTTTTGAACGTCTTATCTCTACTCATTAATTGCATAGCTAGCATGTTGGAATGGTTATGAAGTCGGTTTCGATAGGATGTTATCGAGTATTTTACCTCCTCTTGGACTGTTCTGATTCTAAGTTTACAGTGAAGTTGTTCATCTGTTATGAACCAAGTAGCATTAGTGACTTTCCTCAGCACTGGAACCTCCGCAACAGCTGAACTCCATAGGTCCATTTTGGATTTAGGATACATTTATACAAAAGCAGTTTGTGTTCTAGTGACAGCTGAGTCTTTGTTGAAAAGCCAGTACATTTTTCATAGTTGGATTCCCAATGCCTTTCGCTTTGGGAAAATATGCTTTTTCCAGATGAGTCGATCCAAGGTATCTGGCTTCGTTGACTTCGTTACTTCGTTACTTGCTTGACTCGGCTCCTCATGAACGGCTAAAGCTGCTGTATCATCAGCAAAGTTTGTCATTGGAAGGTCTGAGGTAAAAATAAGGTAAAGAGTCGGTCCGAGTATGCTTCCTGTGGAACTCCTCGAAAGGGCTCTGTGGAGCTTGGTTAAGTCTTCTCCTTGTTTTACATAGACAAGTCTGTCAGTAAGATATGATTTTAAAAATTATAGTAGTTGAATGAAAGTTGTTTGTTTTATTTGTATAACAGGCCTTGATGCCAGACCTTGTCAAGGGCTTGCGAGATGTCCAGAAATGCCGAACTACAGTATTTCTTATTTTAAAATGCTTTATGGATTTCTTCCACCACTCTGTCTTGTTCTAGAGTACCATGATTTTTCCTAAATACGAATTGGTGGTCAGGTATCATTTGATTTTCTGCTAATAGTAAGTACTTCTACAGTTTTATTTCTTGTAGTTTTGTAGAAAGGTGGAGATTTTAAGGTAATACTTTAAACGGTCTTGTTTGGGTTTGTATGTATAAAATTCTGTATTTTTTTCTTTCATACTTTTTACTATTTGTGTATATATTTCTGTTTATTTAGGTTGTATTTTTACTTGTTCGTTGCGGAAGGACTTTCACCTCGTAGTTGTCTTCAGCTACTTTGTCAAGTTTCTTCAGTAGTGGTTGGATATTGCTAACTCTGTCCGCATATAAAGGCTTTGGTAGGTTTTTAGCGATTTCCTCAATTTATGTATCATTTTCTAGTTCCGAAAGACTATTTGAGAGTGGTGTGGGTTGACTAAGCCACTATGCGTCAAGGTTCTTTTGTTTTGGGATTTGATTATTTGTCTTTTTCTTGCGGGTACTTCTCTCAATTGTTCGCTGTCTAATAAGGCCGCAGTCGTTTCCGTACTGGGTCTGTGTTGTCGGGCTTATTCAGTGATTGTGTTTTCATTCTATTAAAGAAAGCTGTATTAAGATTTTGTTGCGTTAACAATTTGTCTTGAGGTTTTTCGGGATGAGGGGATGATTTTGATTGATTTTTATATTCCATGTGATTCCCACGAGAAGGGTCGAAAGAAAACAGGTCACACATGGGGTAACGCCCATTCCCATGCGAAGGCAGTATACAACAATGTGAGCCAGGTCCATTGAGGTTGGCGCTTGAGGCTGATTTCCCATCAGTTATTCATTCTATTGGCACGTATCCCACCGTAGGATTGGGTCAAAGTTTTATGGAGGGCAAGGCCCCTGATTTTGCTTCGAGTGGAGACGAAGTTGCGGGTTGCAGAGATGATTTCCTACCTCTGTTCCATGCTGGCTTGTTAAGCCTTCTGGATCGAATTAATTAACCGTCGCCTGAGACTCGACGTAGACCTTTTACAGTTGGTTTGGCCTCTTCTTAACCAACCCTCCTCCTTTTTCATACGGGCTTGGGATAGATAGATAGAAAACCTTTATTTATACACCGTTTTACCTGTAGTATCGTACATCAAAATAACAGACATGTAATATGTAAAGGGCGGCCTTATTGCTAAAAGCAATTCTTCCTTCCAACCTTAGGATTAATTAAAATGATTTGGAGGGACAGTAGTAGCTGAGGGCGCAATGAGTTTTGACAGGTTAATTACTCATGAACATAAAAGAGATAAAATTTAAGGGACTGCACGGATGGTGTAGTAGTTTAGACGGTCGCCACGCCGCTTGCTACTACGCTGAGTGTTGTGGGTCCGATCCCTACATGAGATGACACTTTGTGTGATCTACAAATTGTTGTTCTGAGTCTGGGTGTTCTTTGTGTTCGTTTCATATATATTTGTAAAGTTCCCCCGCGACACAGGATATATTGTTGTCTTTTAAAAAAATAAAAAATATTTACACATAAAACACATATTTATATATACCAACAAATATACAATATACATACGAAAGCGATACGAAAACAGTAATATTTACACTGAATTAAGTACTGAATTGTTTTTAGTAATAGACGTTATTTTACAATGACAAATACTCGTATCTCGCGATAAGAATGTTCCTTTTTTTTTTCTTTTCTTTTTTTTCTGTGATATACCACCTAAAAAAAGTGTAGTGATGTGATAAGTAAATCACATAAAAAATTATCTTAATATACAGTACTTAATTCAGTGTAAATATTACTGTTGTCGTATCGCTTTCGTCTTTCGTTTTTTGTTCGGTTTGGGCATGATAATGAACTAAACTGTACGTGTTAGAGTAATTTACCACCGGTTATGCTTTAGGCAGGTTTTTAATGCAATTTAAGTGCAGTGTCCGTGTAGAGACGGATTAAGAATACGGAATGTCACTACCCCAATTCATCCCGTGGGTGTCGTAAGAGCCGACTAAGGGCGCAATACAACGCAGGACACCAGCACTGCAAAAAGAAGGAAAACTTGACACAAACCCTATACCAACCCGCCTGGCCAGCGTGGTATAGTAGGCCAAAACCTTCTTTCTAAGGAGAGGCCTATGTCTAGCAGTGGACTATTAAAGGCTGTTGATGTGTGATGATGATGAAGTGCATTATTATTATACTGATAATCAGAAGTTGGATAACCACACATATTTAATAAAGGTAAATTCCACCCAGACACAGGACAAATAAGTGATGGGCACGATCATTTGTTCTCTGTCTGGGTGGAATTTATCTATAATGAATGTATTTGAAAATATATAAGTATGTTTATCAGCAGTCTGGTTGCGTGCGTGAGATGTGTCAAGTAATTATTCTTACTACTC